TTCTTTGTGAAGTTGTAAGACTCCACGGTCTACCACACTCGATCATATCAGATCGAGACTCAAAATTCACGTCAAAATTTTGGCATGAACTACACCAAATACTCAGTTGTCAGGGTTCAGCACCCTGCCTTAGGGTGCCCCGGACTCCCCACCTACTTTACCCCCTTTTATTCTTTGACTGTTGCCTTGTTGTTGCCTTTGTGTGTTGTGTACACGCACACGCACGGGATAGCATGGGAACTTTCTGAGCGAGCAGCTCGCCCAGAATGTTCCCACGGGTCACAGCCACAGTTCTGGGCGAGCAACTCGCCCAGAACGTTCCCACGCTTACTGGGCACTGCCACCTGGATGTTCCCTCCGGGTCACACTACACAACTCTAGGAGCTGTATAGTTGTGGGCATGTGACCCATTCCTTTATATAGCAACCATGCAGGGAGATGAGACCTTTACCCTTCTTCTCATCTCATGCCCTGCATAGTGTGAGGACAGGCCAGATGGGGGTTGAGGTCAGGGAGCCTCCGAGTCCGAGGCTGGGCCCTGACATCGGTGTACAGTTGAAATTCACAACTGCATTCCACCTGCAAGGCGATGGCCAAGCGGAAAGAATGATACAAAAAGTAGTACAAATACTATGCGCGATGGTTAGACCAGACCAATGTGACTGGGCAGCGAAACTGTCGATGGCGGAATTTGCGATCAATGTGAGCTTGAACACATCGACAGGATTTGCCCTGTTTGAATTAATCTACGGCCATATGCCAAAGATGTGCCAAACAGCACCACTCTCGGACTACCCAGGAGTAAATGACTTTGCTCAAAAAGCGAAGGAAAACCTCATGGCAGCACATGACATGATAATACATAATCACACTGCCCAAACAATCCAGGCAAATAAGAAAAGACGCCCGGACCCACCTTTGAGAAAAGGCGAGCTCACATACTGATCCACGGATAAGCTGAACCTACCCAAAGGCAGGGCAGGACAACTAAAGCCCTTATACATAGGGCCTTACGAAATCCTGGAAACATTTCCAGAAACGTCAAACTACGTCCTCAAGTTGCCACCACAACTTGAACAACGCGGAATCCACCCAAGATTCCATGTATCCTGGCTCGCACCTCACGAGCCCAATGACCAGGAAACCTTCCCAAATAGGGAAGTAAACATATTCTACGATTTTGGGGAAGACCCCGATTGCGAAGCAGTAGTTCGTGAAATCCTAAACCACGTGTGGGTTCACAATGAACTCTGGTTTAAGGTTAAATGGGAACTAGGGGACACCACATGGGAACCCCTAGGAAATTGCAACAACCTCGTCCACCTGGACAAGTACCTCACCTTACAAAATGTAAGGGAACCAGAAAAACTCCCTAGCAAAGAAGACAGGGAACTCTCGGCATCACTACACCCCCAAAAACGGAGGCGGAGGAAGTAAAGCCGAGGGACGATGGCCCACAGCCAAGAGCATGGGAAAGTTCTGGGCGAGTAACTCGCCCGGACAGCCACACCATGTACCAGAGATCACATGGGCTAGGTGAGTAACTCGCCTAGAACACGTGAACCACAGGCTCATGTGCAAAAAGAACACACAACTGCGGCGAATCCCACGCACGCAAGAATGAAAACCCCTCCCACCACCACAAGTAACATAATGACGAAATGTCGTTCTCTGGGGGAGGCAACCCTCGGTTCGATCCAAACAAACCACCGGATATCGAAATACGACAACCTGGGGAGCAAGGCTCCCCGGAACAACAACAACACCAGGCGCAGATAAGTGCCATGGATTACACGACACACGCAGCACAAATGAGTGCTGCGAACCAACAACCATCTGCATTGCTAACAGGCACCGCATACCCCCAGCCTCCCCAAAGAGGCTTCCAACCATATGCGGTGCAAACTGCACCGATGGCGCAACAAGCGCCATTCCAGGGGCAGCATTTGCTGCTGCAGCCCCAGGCATACTCCCCAGGGAACTTCCCTGGCCAGATCAACCCCTGGATTAGCCAATTCGGCCCAGGTCCAACAACACCCCAGCCAAATGCAGGCTGGGAATCAGCCATTGCATCAGCGGTAGCTGCTCAGACCGGTCAGCTCCGTGAGGAGCTGAAAGAGATGAAGTCCCTCGTAGGAGGGAGACGAGGGAGTGACAGCGGCTCCTCGTCCAGACTGTCCAAACGGGCACGGTCTGATAACTTGAGGGCGTCAGAAGATGCCTGCGACCATTGCGCCCACTGGAGGCGCAAATACAACAGAGCACAAAGAGATGCTGAGGGCATCTTTGACTCTCTGAAAGACACAGAGAGAGAAGTCGATCTCCAAAAAAGGGAGATCGAATTACTGAAACGCGAGCTCAGAGAGGCACGTGCACTGGCAGACCTCGCTGCCAAACCCATCATGATGGGGGCCTCCCAGGTCAGGGGGAGGGGATACGGTTCCGGGCCTCATGAGGTGTGACCCCACATGGGGACTAGCGCATCAAGGGGTGGGGCACCGACTATCCTGCCACCCCGTGGGCGGGCGACCCTGTCCAGGTTGCATAAGGGCCTGCCCTCAGAGGGGCAAACCCATGTCGAGGGGAAGAGGGAGAGCGGTAGGCAACCGATGGCAGACCCTAAAATGGGGACCACTGCCAGAGGCGGCGGGCTGCTGAGTACCTCAGCACCCTATGGGCAAGCTACCCTGCAGGGAAGTGTCCACATGCTATACGAGACCGCCGAACTCAACGAGTTCGGCAAAGTCGAAGCTCCAGTCGACATAACAATCGACCCCAACTTCCCCATGAGGAGAATAGCAGGGTCAGAAGCAGTGCATGACGCCGCATATGCTTGGTGGACAAGTGTGAGTGGTAAAGAATTCGTACACTGGTACGAACAGGCTGAAGCCACCTTCAAAAGCGGCAAGGTACATAGAACCCTTCGCGAAAAAGCGAAGGAAACCGAGAAATACTTCTTGGGACTCCCGAGTATTGCAAGACTCGCAGAGGAATATAATTCCCCAGAGAATAAGGGGAAAATCTCCTGGGAAAGTCTAGGCAAAGCTGCCTACTTAAAGTCCCAGTTCAAACCACTCAGGACTCCTGAGGAATGTGCCGCAAGAACTGCGGAACGGGAAGTGAAAGCTTCCAAATACCAGGAAAGAGACGCAAGTCTCCATGCTGGACAACCAGCCCAACGACCATCCTTCCCCACGGGAAGAACAGTAGACCTACCATACTCTACACCTGAGCCAAGCAGCTCAGGAACACAACAACCCGCTCCCACCCAGGGAGCACCCACTTCGTCAAGCCCACAGCCCGACAATGTAGCCCAGGCTACATCATCACATCCAACGCAGCAATCGGATGTCCAGATGAACAACCCAGAGGAAAACCCTCCTCCGGGGCAATGAATCCACCCTTGAGAGAAGGGAAAGTGACACGGTAATACGCCATCAAGGCGCCCGTGAAAACACCTTCCCCAAACTCGAGGCCCCACACACAATACTGTATGTGAGGAACCGCAAGTAACAATTGCGGAAATCTCCACTCCATCAAAAGACCCACATCCACCACCGCTCGTGTGTAAACACCACTTACACACGAACCCTCACAGAACAAGTGAGGAACACCAAAGACATACAACCTTTGGGTCGAAATTCATTTTCGATAAACTCCACTTTTTTTTTCCTTTCTTTCTCCTTCTCTCCCTGCGATACCAATGTATTGCCGTTCACTTCAAAGTAACGGCCCACACTCATTCATTCCTTAAACCCCCTCTCTTCCTTTCACTGACATGTACAAAATCGCCCACTTTAAAGTGGCGACAACAAAAAACACTCATTGATAATTCCAAACTCAATGTAAATCAACTATTAAAACTCTGTTTCATTTACTATCAACCTTGTATGTGTCGCAAATGCAATGCAAGGGGGGAGAATGTCAGGGCAATAGCCCCAAACCCCGAGTCACATGTAAATTAGATACACATAGTCACGTGGGCAAGCGGGAACCTCTGGGTAACCACTTACACACCACCGTAAAATACACTATCTTGTATCACTTACGGCCTTGTGTGCTGAGCCACCCTAAGACCTCACACTCATCAACAGGAAATGGGCATGCGCGCCAGTGATACATTGAGCAGCAGGAAAGGTGGTTCATGTGAGAAAGAAAGAAAGGAAGGAAGGAAGGAAGAAAGGGGGAAAGGAGAAAGGAGAAAGGAAGAGGGAGAAGCGGTGCGGAGCGGGGGAGTGGAGTGAGGGTTGGGTGGGGCGTGCCCTGACAATTCCAAAAGAGACAGCCAACTCCGCCTAATTACATAACCAGCTAAATATTTTCCACGTGACCTTGCAATGACCAGAAATATTTGCCGCTCATGACCTTGTACTGCCACATTCAGATAATTCCGGATAGTACCGGGATTTGAAAGTCGTCTATCTTACCTAAGTTGTGCAATGCAATTTTAGTGTGAGTGCATGCAGTCATCAACCCAACCCATTGGGAGCACATTCAAGGTTGTAAAGTTGATATCTAGTGTGTGCGCGAAATTTAATCCTTTATATATTACTTCAACCAGCATATAGAGTTTGTATGCCGTGGCATAGGTGTTGGAGCACAGGTTGAGGCTATGCAGCTTTTTGGGTGGCACATGTTCAATTCTCACTCAATAAATCTTTTTTCACATTCTCCCATGGAATAATTGTAAGGGTTTGAATTTGTCGTGTCCACTAAGAAGGGAAGGATGAAAAGAAAAAAGATTTATTGAGTGGGAATTGAACATGTGCCACCCAAAAAGCTGCATAGCCTCAACCTGCGCTCCAACACCTATGCCACGGCATACAAACTCTATATGCTGGTTGAAGTAATATATAAAGGATTAAATTTCGCGCGCACACTGGATATCAACTTTACAACCTTGAATGTGCTCCCAATGGGTTGGGTTGATGACCGCATGCACTCACACTAAAATTGCATTGCACAACTTAGGTACAACTCGTAGTTCAGGCGATTCAATCCAACGCAATTCAGTAGATCCACAAATATCTGTGTTATTATCGAGGACAAAAAACTCGAGTTAAACAAACAATAACAACATATTCCGCCAGTCGCTTACGCAGTTTCGCCGCGCCGAAAAATTCGGATATACTTCGGCGAAACTCACGTGAGCGACTGGGCCTTTCGGGCGTTTTCAGTTTGATTACGCAGCTTCATGCCTATCTGGGCCTTAATATCGTCGAAAGGATCGTCCGGACTCATCACGTTTCCAATCAAGGCAATGCTACTTTACTAGGATCGTCCAATCGGTTGTGCTTTGCATCGTGGTCAATGCAAAGCTTCTCGTCCTACCTCAGCTGCTTCCGCATATATTCCGTGTGAGGGCTAAGCGGGCTTTCCGGGCTTCATACTTCAATCCCTGCATTCACTGTCCTCCGCATCATTAGCGCGATGTCTGGAAAAGACCAGCTACCACCCGCCTCTCGACGTCAGAAAGGAAAGTTTCCTGCCTACCGGCCCTTTTCTCATGCTCCGCAGTCGTCGCAAGCTGCACCTGAAATTCAGATCGATGGTCCTGAGGCAACCCAGAGCCTCGATGATTTGTCCACAGGATCTCTCCCCGAGCGATCTCTTGCGATCGTGCCAACTGCGCCGTCTTCCCGCAGCCTTGGCGGCTCGGAGACGTCGCCACTCCGCCGCATAAGCAATTGGTTTGGGAAATGGTCAAGTCCCAATCGCCGTCACAGGTCACCTCCACCCCATCCGGAACCGTCTGTGGCAAAGATACGTCCTCATCCGGCTCCTGACACCTCGCGGCTGTCTCATCTCCACCCTGAACAGAATGTTGACGGTAACCGTCGGTCAACGCCCAGCATCCAAACTGCCGCCGACACCACTTCGAGTCTCCACTCACAACTAGAACGCATGGGATTGGATTCAGATGTGCCCTCATTGTTAGAAGCGACGGCTCTGTCGCCAGCACCAGCTGGTGATGGAAAGAAACCGGTCATTATTGGCACTACGAAGCTCCTTCTCCAAGTCGGCGCCTTCGCTCTCAAGGCTTCTCCCATTCCGCTTCTGGGAGAGATTCCCAATTTACTCCTGAAATTTCTTCAAGTCTACGAGGTGACCAGCGTTTTAATTTCAGGACCGGTGACATGTGACTTATGTTCGTCCGCTTTTGATTATCACACAGTCAATTGATAGTAATAGCGAAAACCTCAAAGGGCTAAATGACGAGGTCCATAAAGCTTACACCACTATCCTGCGACCGCTCCAACTGTGGACGGACAATATCCCTCCCGAAGTAACGGTTTTAATCAAGGAATTTCATTCGTACGCACATTGTGTTCTTCAGTTACTCATTCAAATTCAGATCTCGTACCCAGGGCCTTGAACGAGCAGATGAAGAAAATTGAGGAACTTTCGCGTCAAAAGCTTCCGAGGAGATTACTCTCAGTGTCCGATGTAACCCAGCACATAGACGCTGTGAAGACTTGCATCAGCAAGGCTGTCATCTCATTCTCGGTTTGTTTCCTTAGTGCCTAGTATGAACATGTTAGCTGATGCAAACATACCCATAGACGGAGGCAGCAATTCTGACACTCCTTCACACAATTCAGTCTTCGGTGCGAGGTACATTTCTATTCACATGATCTTGGACTCTTTACTAAAGCCCACTGCTAGCCGAACTCTTAAGACTCCCACGGGTCGCTGCTGAGCACACCTATGTTACGGCCAAGTCGGAGTGCCTTGAAGGCACTCGGGAGAAGATACAGGCATCTATCATCGAAGATCTGAATAAAGCAGGGAACAGATTTGTCTGGTTGAGAGGCTCACCTGGAATGGGGAAGACGGCGATTTGTCTGAGCATTGCATCCTACTTTGAGAAACAACACACCCTAGCGGCATCCTTCTTTTGGGATAAGAATCAACCGGGGACGGGGCTAGACTCTGTCAAACAGTTTCCCTCTACTCTTGCTCATCAAATTGCTTCCTTCAACGAAGAATTCAAGCTCTCACTTGTCAGACGCCTTCAGCAGCGGAATCTTGATCTAGCGCAGAAACTTCCTCTAGAGAAACAAATGAAGGCGCTGGTTATTGAGCCCATGGGCGATCTCAAGGATCTACTGTTGTCTAGTAAGGACCGCTTCTTCATCATCCTAGATGGGTTGGATGAGTGCGGGGATCAGGGGGCACTTGAAACCTTGATGAAGCTCGTACTAATGCTTCAGACCTTGCCTCCCACGTTTGCTGTGCTTATCAGTTCTCGCCCGGAACAGGAGGTTATCTCAGCTTGGGACGATGCCAACGATGGGGGTCTTGATATCCCTTGCGAGGATGTTGATAAGGTTGGAGAGGAGACTCTGCACACCGTTCGTCATATGGTGGAGGATGGCCTTCGGGACTGTGTGAAGAAATCTGCCTGGAAGCCATCAAATGAGGATTTTGACAGCTTTGCCTCAGCTTGCCGTGGATTGCCCGTTATTGCTTCAATCCGCATACGTGATGTCCATGATCAGACTCGACGCGGTTCCACTCTCAAGCGGGAGTTTGAGTACTTTCGCAATCTTACAGATGCGCCACTCGACCTGAAGTCGGAGTATTTGCGAATACTGCGGCGAGCATATATGTCCAATCAATCTGGCATTCGTCCACACGTAATCGAGAATTACCACCAAGTAATTGGGACGATCACTGCAGCACGTGGGCCGCTCAGTTTATATTCGATGTCGCAGCTCCTAGGGATAGCTGAGGATGAAGTTCATGCAACCCTAGAGCCGATCAGCTCAATTATTGAGTTGTCCTCAGAGAAATCACGGTCCCTCCAAGGTTTGATGCGGGTGCTTCGAATTGCCCCTGATGCGGTATACCCCAAATTCTACCATGCAACAATGAAGGAATTCCTCACGGATCGCCCATTGGGTCATGAAAGTGACCAGCCATTCTTCATCAGTGATTTGAAGGGGCATTTCTTGGGACCACCGCTTCTTCGGCTTGTAAATGACATTATCGAACGGAATAAATCCAAAATAAGTTTATTCGGAGATGGCAAGAAGCGGAAAGGATTTCAGGGGAAGAAGCAGCCTGAACATGTCCAATATGCTCTCCGCTACCTGTTCTACCACTCGGATCCATCAAGACTCTCCTCCAATGGATTCAGCAGCGAGTTTAATGTCTTCCTTACCCGAAACTTACTTTCATTCTTGGTGCTATCACAATTTGATTTTGAGTTGCCTGGTGACTTACCTCGATCTAACGTAAGTCGTAAGTTTGACTTCATTCAATTCTACTGATTCCTCTTAACAATATGACATCACTTATGCCTTGCAGAATTGCAATTTAACCGAATGGTTCCAAGAAGTCAAGAGGGTGAAGGATATAATAACTAAGAATGAACTCAGCTCCTCCCCCTGGCATATTTTTCGGTCAATTCTTCCCTTCACTCCATCCTCATCCCCACTTTTCAAGTCATATGGGCATCTCTCTGATCCCGTTCGAATTTTCAGCATCACTGGAGAATCCTCTAGCCATTCAATCCCATTAAGCGGGGATACTCTTAATGTTCAAAGGGTTATGGAGGCGAAACTCGGCACGTTACCGATAGAGGTTGGTAGATTCGAGATGGATGAGACGAACAGGATTGATCACAAAGCTGAATTTCTTGATCCTGATATTCGTAATGGTATTGTGACCGCTGCAGCACTCTCACAAGATGGCCGTTACATCGCACTCGGCTTTGGAAACGGCGTTATTGAAGTTGCTGACATTGACCATCAACACACCGTCGCTCATTTTCGATGTGACCCACCCAATGTTCCAGCTTGGATTGAATTTATCTGTGGCAGCCGCCGGATTGTCACCGAAGATAATGAGGGAAACATCACAATCTTCAGCCATGGTTCGCCGCCTGTGAAGGTCGGTACCCTCCCCAGTGGGCACCACCCCCCGGTTACTCTGGTTGCAGACAACGGCTCATTCATCATACGAATTCCTCGGAACATTGACCGCAGTTGGTACGAAAACTTGGCGATCTTAGATGTTTCAAATGAACCAACCATCCACCCTCTTCCCCCTCCTCTTCCCCCTCGTTCCGCTTCTCGGGCCCTCAGGCCAGCCATGCCTAGCCATTGCACACTTGGACTCTCCCCCACAGGACAGTACGTCGTCGTCCATGACGAGAATAATATCTCTATTTGGTCAACTGAGACGCACGAGTTGATTCATTGCGGCGAGTCTGGTTTCATACTTCCCGTCTCCTACAACACATACTCTCTTTCACATCTTATAATCGAAACCCGAACGGAAATCCCCTTGCACCTGGAGAATGACATCCCTCGTGTACAGAGCCTCGTGGCTGGGCATGATGCAGATCGATTGTGGCTAGAGCTACTATTCTGCGAGCTCCCATCAAGGCTCACACAGGCTGCGGATATGTGTCAGTCTCGTTATATCACCGTCCCCGACCCCAACCCCTACGACCCCGACCCTGACCCCCCCTTCGACCCCGGCAGTGTCCGCAGCCCCTACATCCCTAGGCAAAGACGTGAGGCCAAAACACAGACGATCTGGCTCAATGGTAGACTCGAACTGCTTCTCCCACCAGAATACCGCCCGATCATTCTTGACAAGCACCAGATTAACGGTCAAGTATGGTACGGGGATCGAATATTGAGGAATAATGGCCTCTACCTTCCTTGCGCTAGCAAAGATGGGACTCGGTTCTTGGTCCAAGGTCGTATGCGAGCTCCGATCGTTGTCGATATTAGCCAAGTTGTCTAGTTCTTTTGCGCTGCTCACTATGATGCTTTTTCCTTCGTTGTTTGTGTGTCGTTGTACATGTGTATTACTGTATTTATGTAAAAGTCAGGGACAGACGGGCACTGCAATATCAATGATCCTTCATTTGACCCCAGCAAGAAGAGCTTGTTGGGCGCTCAGCTGGACAAGATCATATGGAACCGTTAACCATCATGTTCGATAGATCTTACATGGTCGTTATGCCTCATCCAGGGACTTTCCTGTTCCTGACGCTCCGGTCTGCAAGGTGATTTTTTTCCCCTCGAAACCAGAGGTAGGGATCCTGCCGAAAGCAGAGGATAATTTTATCGTCACAACGCAGATATCGTGTTGCGAGGTGGCCTGCGGTCGACTGAGAAAGAATTATTGTCCCTGGGAGTCGACGTACATCAGGCACAAAGCGCCCACAGCTTCGATTGCATCCACACGCATATTGCGAGCCTGATACCGAACGCGACCCCGTACCCAAAACTTTTACACATCAGCACAATGGGAGTCTAATGGCGTCTCCCACCCAGGATTTTAGTCCTCAGGATCCCTATCCCGACAATGGTAGTACAAAGGTCGAAGCGTTATATACCGCTGGCACTATCCTACATGGTTGAATACAAATAAATTCATGCAGCAATGTCGCCAGCACCCAAAAAGTAGGGATGAAACTAGAAAGAAATTCGAGAGAGAAGCCAACAAAGGGAACAGTTATTCACAAAAGGTGATCCGCGTATGGTGTAGCGTCGATACCCGGGGCAAATTAACAGATCAGAGAATCGAATCAATCAAGACAAAATAATGGCATGCACATGCACAAAGCTTTTGGTTTACAACTGAGCAACAAACTAAAAAAGGAGGCGCTGATCATGGCAAAGAAACGACCAAATAAATAGAAACGACGAAAATTTTGACGGGCCAGCTCAAAAGAAAAAAGAAAACGCGGAGGGAAAATCAGTCTTACATCAAATACAAAGTCTAACAAAGACCGAATGTAGCCCAAAATGCGCCGATCGATGCAAACGTCTGGTAGAACCAAAACATCACAAAATACAGCGTCAAACGTCAAGGCGGAAAGTCTGATTGTGCACGGGGATTCGTCATGTAGAATACCTCCTCATCTGTCTTCGCAGCTCTTCCATCTCCGTCTCTGTCATCTCATCCAAAGCAAGACTAGCCCCGCGTCCCCGTCCGTTCTCATCACGACCCATCGCCATGGAGGCACTGACACTGGCATTGAGACTAGACCCTTGGCCACTCCAAGTTCGGCGTTTCATGCGTCGAAAGAATTTTTCCAAGGGTCCATCGGATTTAGCCTTACATCCGTCAATAAAATGAACCATTGTACCTGATGTTCGGGTGGTATCAACGCTTTCGCGGGTGGGCATCGATTCAGATGTGAGAGGCTGGGGTGGAAGAAGTGGGGAAGCAGGTATCGGGGGGAGTGGAGAGAATGGGGGGGTATCATGACAGTCACCTTCCTCTATTGAGATTGTAGTCGAGCTGGGCTTTGTTGGAACGTCAACTTCCACTTCGATAGATAGTGTGTACTTTCTCCGTACGACCAGCTGTCCTGATGGTGCGGTAGCAGTCTGGATAGCCAAATTGGGCGAATCACAGCAACGCAGTGATGTGAGGGTCGTGGCTCGGTCTCTCCTTTTCGATGATCGTGCACCTAAACCACTAGCAATCATTTTTCCTCTTAACAATTGAGATAGTTTCTGTGAGAATGTTCGGATTGCGCTCTTTTCGCTCTCAGCTGTGCGATCCTCGACGCGAGTTTGAGTTCGTATCGACATGTTTCGAGCCGAGGATATGCGCGACGTGGACACGGGATGCGTTCCTACCAAGTCGTTAGCGCTGAACGCCACGGTGATGTTTACATCCGTGTCATCCACGTCGGCGATGGCATCGCTTGGGGCTAGTGGGGAGAGGGGTGAAGGAAGAGGTGATGACGGATACGATTCTTCTGTTGGCAGTGGATACTCAGGATATTCGAAAAACATTTCCGCTGCCGCACTGAGTGGTTCGATGGCATCGAGATAGTCATCCTCTTCCCCCAAACCTCTAAAAAATTGGGGACTTTGGCCATCGCTGCGATCGCCCACGTGGAATTCGGCGTCGAGCAAGGAGAGTACTGATGGAGAGCGGGGTAGCTCGTGCTGATCGTCGTTTGGATTGTCATAAGGTACGGAGGAGATGACTGAATGAGGAGAGCCTTGATATATAGGTAAGGCATCGACAAATTGTGACGTCCATGACTCAGTGGGTTGGCGCGGTGACGTTCTGGGGTCTATCTCGAAATGTTCGTTGTACCAGGTAGAAGATGAAGAGTAATACGATTCCTGGAGACTTGGGCTTTCTAGAGGAGGCAGTGCAAAAAGTTCGTCCTCTTCAGCCATCTACATTTGGAATGAGGAATAATAAGCACATCAAAACAACGCTTTAACCCAAAAATCAAATTTGAACGGACCAATGAAAGGAGGTCAATCCTCGATCTAACGCCCATAGTACAAGGAATGGCACTAAATCCGTCATTGAGAGATAAGCCTAGACCAGCGTATCAGTCATTTAGTGCTGGCTGCGTCATGCGCGTAAATACTGGACGAACCATCGCTGGCAGCAAATGGGAGATCATCGGGATCGACACAGTACTGAAGCCCCTCCGAGGTCAAATGCAAAGAGAGCGAGGATGCGCTAGCCGAACACATGTCGCGATTTGACGCGTTGTCGAACGCGTCAAGTTCGGGTGACGGTCGCGTCCAAGACAATCGATCCATAGCTGTCACATTTGTTGGGGATACGGCTCCCACAGAAACGAGGGAGTTAGAGCTCAAGGACCGAGGCAGAATAGTGAGATGCCGTTTGTTCGAGGGCGAGACAGGTCGACGCGGTGTGTCTTGATATGAGGGCGAACGCATGGTTGGTGGGGAATCAGCCAACGCAGACATCGCTTAAGTAGGGCACTTCTGGGGTGGGAGGGTTAAGAAATGCGAAAGTTTTCACTTGGGGGAGTAAAAAAGTTATAGACGGTGCGGGAATGCTGAGGGCCTTATCCTTATAACCCCTGCCAATACCGACACCCTAGTGAGTGCAGTATTACGCCAGAACCACTGAATACCTCTTAGTCACGTAGTGAATAAGTGGAAGAGCGCGCATGCGAGGCAAGAGGAACGGGTCTCAATGCTTCCCTTCTCTCATCCCCGAGAGCCCAGGGCTTATATGGATGGAAACACAGGAAAAAGCAAAGCGCTGGATTAGGACATAAAGTGTGAGCCATCGAAACGAGCACAGTAACCAAGGGTTGGCTTTTACTCCTGATTGCTCCGAAAGGCACTGCCCCGACAGGACTTGCCGTTCTAGGTCCATCGAGATTGCCCAAATAGGACATAGGAAGAAAGGAGGGGAAAGAACGAAAACATGGAAACAAGGCAAAGATATTGGTCTTTGGCGGTGGTAGCAAAATCTCCGGCAAAGGAGCAAAGGAGTCGCAAAGGTCGGAGAAAGAAAGAACGTTGGGATGTTTTGCAAATCAACTGATTCCGTGGCAGTCCCAAAAAGGACCTCTGAGTTTCTTTGTCGCGCAATTCCAATGGGGTTTTGCTATCCGTGCAAACACAATCATCACGCCCCTAGTTCTCGTCATTAAGCGTGGCTAGACGCGAACAGGTCTGAAGTGTATGGGTGATAGGCCAGGGACGATCTTCACAAAGCGTACCGGCCATATGGCCATCTTCACGGAGCCGTAAATATTGATCAACACACTGGTTTTCCAAGACAGGAGTTTGGCTTTTTTCTTCTCAGTCGATTCTCACTTTGCGTTCGTACCTTCCGCAGATGCCAGAAAACTCGTCCGCCAATGCGCTTGCAACGTGTTGCTTAACTCTCGGAAAAACTCCATAAATGAAGGGGTTTGGGCTTCCTCCAAGGGTCAAATGCGTGGATTTGAGCTGGGATGGCATTTCACCTGTAATCATCCGCTTTTTCCCATTTATATCTAGCATCACTGGCCACATGGTTCTAGTGGAGCGTGGACAAGTTCTTGTCAGGAGAATCGGATTGATTATCATTTTCTCTCACCAGGAAGACGACTTGATTCGCGCACAGACAGTCTCTTTGACGTGTCATCCGCATCTCCTGTCAGAACATTTATCGTACATTTCAACCAACCCCATTTGGGTTTACTTTTGATTCGTAATGGTTCGAAAAGGAAGTGTGGAATGTTCCCCATTATCGTGCGCTTATCGTGAACAAGAGCTCCCCTCCTGAGCTGTAGTAGCGGGAAGAAGGTTGCATGTAACTTGTTATGTAAACCAATCTAAGAAAAGCAAGCGGGCACTGCCGCTCTTGCACCGGCCACATGGAAGGCAGTTGAGCTTGGTTGAGCTTGTCTTCTCGAAGGCGGGCATAATCACTCATTCAGACGCACATGTCTGGTTCTATTGTCCTTCATTAAGAATATGCTCAAGTCCCCCGGGCGACCGCCTAGCTCCTGATATATGCCCAATCAGTGCAATGATCACTAGCTGTCCCCCGTTCCATGGAGCTCTGGCGACCGAGGAATTGAACAAACGGTAGCGTACACCCTTTATGCATCTGTTGTAAATATTTCTCGCACTTTATCGACGCCTCTCTTTCCGCCAACGAGCAAAGCCAGTGCAACACCAATATCAACCACGACAGTCACTACGCCAGCCAACATAAAGCGCGGGGCAAATACCTTCCATACCATCAAATGCCGCCTTAGAATCGCAGCGCTAGTAGCAGTGCCAATGAGGACTGAAGTGAAATATATGATGACACCGACGGAAATACGGAGCGAGTCGGACAAGACGAGCACGCGGCCTTTTTGGGGCGGTGATATCGCCCATGTAGCAAGGAGCGGAGCGGCCAAAGGAGCTAACAAAAAGGGTCCAAATGTGTTAAGCGAGACGAGGGCTGGAGAGAAAGGATATGTAAGAGTAGGGAAACCAACGAAAGCCGTTTTCCATTGTATTGACGAGAAAGTAGCCTGATGGCCTGTACCGAAGAAGATAAGATGAGCGAGGAGGGAAAGGATTACTGGTTCCGCCAGGGTTGGGCTTCTCGCAGGATCCGAGGAGGACATAACAGGCGAAGAGCCACCATTGGTAGCATCTGATGCAAAGGATGAGTTTCCGTCTCCACTGACTCTTTCCACGGAGGTACGTAATGTCCGCGCATCCCGCTCGGCATCAACCAATTCCACAAAACACATGATACTCGCTAGACCCAAGGAAAGGACCACTTGGCCAGTTAATTGCGTCACAAGCCACAACAAACCGAAAAGGGGCAAAATGAACATCAAGTACATTGACCCATACATGTTCGCCCATCCCAATATAACGATTTGCTTTCCCTCCCTCCCGCTAGACATAGCGTCTGTCCCGTTCGCATCTTCTTCGCGCAACTCGACGTTGAGCGGGGCGGACCACCAATAGGCATATCCCCCAAACAATGTCCCACCAAGCACAGTTCTAGCGATGACGGTGCGAACAGAAAGGCTCAACTGTAACCACCCGAAGGATAATGCATCCGCAAAGAAACTTTCGGACCACTCCATAAGCCAATAAATGGTCGCACCAAGAAGACAATACTTCCATAAAGTCCCAACAATGAAGGGTGCCGCGCCTTTATCGGATTTAGATGGCGCTAGGAATCTTTGAAGGATTAAATAAGGGAGGTAATACGCAATTGGAAGTGAGAGGAGCACCACAAGAGTTGGAGACAAAGGGCGTGTCGACGACGAATAAAAGGTGACATGGCAATACGGATGTTGCTCCTCGCGACAGACAGTACTGAAGGATGACAAGCGAAAGAGAGCAGTCAATACTGCTGACAAGAAGAGGATGCGCCGACGAAGGGTAATTAACGGTACTGAGAACGCAGCGACGACTGAAGGGAGGACTAATGATGCCAGTAGGAAGAGCGTCATTTTATCTTCCCATAAAATAAAAGAATTAGATGTGAATGAGATAGAATGAAGTAAGGTCACAATAACTGGAAAGATGGTTTTTGACTTGGAAGCTGTCCACAGGTGTCTTCGAGCGTTCGGGAGGATTGATGGCAGGTTGACAACGAGCATTGCGAATTGGGAAGTGACGGTAGAGGAAGCAAGAATGATGTCCATTGCCGAAAGCTTATACCATGATAACGCATATCGTGCGCGAAGGCTCGTTGCTAACACTCCAACCAGTGCTCCGATGACAGCACTTCCCCATCCCAATATAATGACCCCCTGACCCACCTCTTCCCACGAATCCCTACAATTCGCAAGCGAATAATATAAAACTGCCAAGACAGGTAGACAGCCAACCAAGATAACGAGCCCAGTCATCATCAATACACTGTTGAACTGAGCCCACAACGAACGGCAGTGGGTCAGAGCCTGACGGGTGAAAGAAAAGAATGCTAGGGTAGCATCTCTACCGCTCAACGATTCCGCCTCAGAATAAGCGGTTTCCAACGCAGCAATCGTATCCTGAAGTTCTCCACCTGAAGGACTCGTCGCGTAAGCGCGCAAGTACGAAAGCACTTGCTTGGCGTTGAGTCGCATGACATCGTCGAGGATGTACGTAGGAGTTGAGAAGTAGGAAGAGGTGGTAGATCGCATGAAGAACTCGGGGATGATCGAACCAAGATTGTTGAACGGGATTGGTAAACCCAACAAGAATGCAATGGACGGAAGAATGTCAATCTGCTGAATGGACCGATGAGGAGCTGAAGACCTCGGGAAGGTGCGGGTGCTGCGCATTAGAGATGGTACGTTTGCTGATCCATCGGAAAGAGGAACGCTTTTGCTGTATACCCACATCGCCGCGGAGGTTTCCAAATCTCCATCGCCGCCGTGGTCGCCTTTTGCGTCCATACCATGGTCACCAAGGACAACCAGGAGCGTGTCGTCATCCATTTCATTGACAACCCGTCGCAATACGTCATCCATTTGTTCAAGTTTTGACCTCATAGCCGGATGATCTGGTCCTAACCTGTGCCCAACATGGTCAACTCCCAAGAAGTGGCCAATCATGAGACCCCAGTTTTCTCCAGCGGCAAGCAGCGGAAATAGGTGGCGAATCACTCCTTCGTCAACAGAATGCAAGTCCTCCACATTGAAAGAATCATAAGGGAAAGTCATGTTTTGGGCGAAGGAATTCGCGAAAGTATGCATCCAAGTGTCATCGCCAGCGAACGCCACGTTCCTGTTGGCAGCACGCATCTGGAAAATGAGATTGTCTTCTTCAATGGCTGAAGCCGAAAAACTTGACCCAATATCTACAAAAGTTGGTAATGATCCAGTCATGAGAGCTTTGATCCTCTGAGGCGTCGCCGTTGGTGGATCCGCAAATGCATTGAATATGAACGAGTGTGTTGGATAAGCTTCAGTCAGCTCCCGTGGTAAAGTAAGGACATTGTGGGAATATCGCGATGTCGGCAAAGGTGGGTTCGGGGAGATGAAGTCGAATCGCAAAGCGTCGATGATGAGAAAAAGGGCCCTTTTGTGAGTAGCCCCCAGGGAACACTCCTTTGTCGGTTCACAGGAGGATTTCGTTTCAAGGGCTAACCGAGTTAAGAGGAACCCTCTCGTGAAGAGAGAAAGGCCAGAGAGCTGGAGGAAAAATACCCAAGCGAGGACGAGAACTACCAAGGCATGCCGCTTCGGCAACGACGAAGTAACTCTTCCCCACCGTTTTAGAGGCTCGATGGCCTGTTTTCCACGTTAGACCACAGTGGGCAAAACTGAACCGAAAAATGTTACCTCTGCCATGGAATGGTGCAGCCTCAAATTTGTCGAACATAGTGCGTTTCCCACGATCGGACCCAAAAATCGTTCAATTTTTTTTTCAACCGACAGCTTTATGGCAACGCTGTTCCCTTGGCCGGATTTCCCCTTCAGATAGAATGCTGGGAACGGGAGGCTGGAAGCACCAACATTACTTCTTTTCTGCTCCTCTTCGCGTCACTGATTTGCTTGCTTTCTTACGGCAGAGCTCCGCCTAGTTGACGGAAACCCGACTGCTGGGGTGGGCGGCGCCTTGCGCTTCCTTCTGGCCACAATCCACAGACCTTTATTGCTAACGTCGCTGGCCTGGCACACAGGTCCTCACCACATCGCTTCTTTTCTAGTACAGCGTTATTATCGATGCCTGCTAGTCTGGGGTGTTTTGGAGGGATGTGCGCGCCGGGCGCCAACCCGGGTCGCACTCGGTGCTGTCTTCAGGGTTCTCTTTGGCACGTCCCGGCTCAGGGAAGCTATTATTCTTCCATGGAAGCAAACACGCATTCTCCTTACTCCAGCTAGTCCCGAGTCTTGAATAGAAAAGCGCCTAACTAGCTTTTGGAAAAGGATAACCGTTTTCAGGGAGCCCAGGAATCTCGCCCCTCAAAAGTGATTCGTTTTTTGTCGCCGTGATGGAAATACGGCCTCCGCACCCTAGGGCATTTTCTGGCTGAGAGGCGCAAATCGGGAACTCCCGTAACGTGATAAGTGTCCTCACCATCACGGTGCCAATTCCAAGGGATCCACACTCAGGGTCCGCCGGACAGCTTCCGAGCTTCATCACATGCACTGTTCCTCTTCCGTGGAATGTGCTGGGCTATCATGCCTATTTAGAACAGGGCTTCACATCTAAGATCGTCAAGAGGTTGTCCTAGCCTCAGCCGCCTTGATCGCTATCTATGATTAAGCGCCTTGAACCCCCGTCAGTTGTGTCGCGCGTATTATTGGGCCAGGTTTTTGACGAGACGCGTCTTCAAAGAATGCCTGGGTTCGTTTTCTGGGGGCCCGGATCTAGGGTAGTGCTCTAAATCTCCTAACGCAACCTAGGATTACCTGGTTATCCTCGCAACTATTCCAGCAGTATAGTATCAGCATCTTGATAGGATTCCAGTAAATGGACGTTAGAAATGAGTCACCATTCCACCCAATGTGGACCTTCCGACTCGGGAGTGGATCAATGCACTCTTCATGAGCGCGCCTGACGTACCACGTCGGGGTCATGACGATTTCACCCGCCTAATAGGATTTGTGGTCCCCATTCACCTCTGAATGAGCGTCTTCCTGTCGCCTGGTGCCTAGTGGAGCGTTCTGGTGGCGAACAGCCGAGGCCAAATCTAACTTTCGAGTACGCCTCCCGAGGCGAACACTGGCAGTGGACGTTGAGGTCAAGAGGGTCACTGTCACTGGGATGTGATCCATGATAGGCATTCGGATGGTCCCCGGACAGCGCAACTCAGTCCCGAAGTGTCGGTCTTCTTGATGCGGAGACATTCTGTGATCTAAGGATCCCTTTCTGGGTGGGGCCTGTGCCTCTTTCCGGCTCTACTCCACGGGTTCAACTTGATGTTCACCCTCCTCGGGCGCGAGGTTTTCTAATGTAACACTGATACGCAAAGCTTCAGTCGTGTCGCACATCTCACCCCTCGAACCATCGCTCAACTGCATCATTGTTACTTTTATTTACAACTGGTATGCGTACATTCAGGTTATTGGCCAAGATGCTATGCCCTTGACAAGGGGATATTCATCCGGCCTTTTCAAACTTGTGTAACGTGGAGACGAATTCAACAATATCTTCCGCAAGCTCTTGAGGACATTCAAGAGCTGCGAAGTGTCCTCCCTCGAGGCGAATGAAGCGTTCAGTTGATCAGTCGAATGGCTGAAAAAAGCGCCAAGGCGTCAGACTCACCTTTTGATGTTCTCGTACAAACACAAGGTTCGTGTTGTAACCGAGCCAGCTTGGAGGATAAGATCCGATCTCCTTAGGGAAGATGGAGTATCCGAGGGGCTTCTTGATGCTGATATATGCTGAAGGATCGTCGCCTGACTGTCTGGGGTTAGATAGGGTCGTCCAATTGTGACAAATATTTCGAACTGACACCCCTATATGGGTAGAGACTAGTCGAAGCACTATTCGTTACCCAGTAAACCGTCACCATCGCAAGAATGGTATCCAACGTTGGAGTCGAATCGCTCCATTCTATGAGCTTTTCGCCAATCCTAGAACACCATAGTCCCAATCAGCCGGTCGAGTAAGACGCAGAGTGGCCCAATGGGAATAATTACCAAGCCAACAAAGCGATAGGATTGCTACTTAACACATGACCAATGGTGCTAGGCCGAGTGGCGTGCTCCATTGCATATGCCAAACCTGTCATCCTGAATTTTTGTGAGACTTTGAATCTCTCTTCGTCCGCAGGCGTAAGAGGTAATCCTTCTGCGGGTGCCTCCCTAGCGAAAAACATGTTGACTGCGCAATGGGATCAGTATCATATCCCAATTGGAGCGAACGATCCCAGCTTACGGTGAACAGCTATGTAGTTGCAATATCAAATGAGTGAATATAAAATATGCATGGTAGAATTACCTCTGCAGTCCGGGACTTTTGATCCGATGACGCGTGCGACATGGGAGCCAATATCTCCCCCTTGAACAACGTAGTCTCGGAGGCCGAGCCCGGTCATTAATTTGTCTACGATTCTCGCTATTCCCGTATTGTTGAAATTGACGTGCGGGGGCGGGCAGGACGTCCAACCATAGCCGGGGAGAGAAGGCGCAATGATGTGAAATGACGGGGATTGCGACTGCTGAAGGATGGAAATGATGTCAAGGAATTCAAAAACAGATCCTAGAAACTGCTTTGATACGGAAATATCAAAGAACGAAATTGCACTGTACGTACCTGGCCACCCGTGCAACAAAACCAGGGGAACAGCATTGGCATTGTCAGACAAGACACCAATGAAATGAACATTATAAATAGATCCATCATCGTCCGTAATGTTGACTTTCCAGTTCGGAAAAGAATTGATGCGCTTCTCATGGGCCCGCCTGCGTATGGGATTCTTGAGATTTGTGTCGTCCTGGAGGACTGATGAGGATCATCTCACCAATCAAAGTCTGATAGCCAAGTTTCCCTAGCATTCTTAATCCATTCATCGGATATACCAAGTCCGGCTTCTGGATGAGTGCCTTCGTACGTGGTTGGAGCAAGGCGTCCCAGCTTAATGAGTGTCTTCATGTCATTCAACGTTTGCTCAGGCGTTTCGATCGTGAATGGTTGAGGCTCAAGAGGTCCTTTGAAAGACATTTTGCTGAATGATTGCAAAATGATGACTCGAATCCCAAGATAGCTGTCGGCTATTAGGGTTCAGGTTACTTTGATAACTAGATATGCAAGATGATTCATTTGTTCACGGAAATCATTCCCACGGCCTGGCCCTTGCCTTCGCGTGAACTTGGCCAGCAAAGCTCCAGACGAGCTGTCGGGACACTGCTTGATGGGATGACCATCTGGCCATCTCTGGCCATCGTCATCACGGCGGGGGCCCGCCGCTAGTCCGGTATGCACATAAACATTCCAAGGCTCCGAGGTCCTCTTGACCTCAGCAACTTGCACGGATGCCAGATGGCACTCAAAGACCTGGCCTCGGACCGCTCGGATATCAGCCGTGTGCTGATTTATGTTACGCTAGTAGTACTGCAGCAACGATGAGATGATGAGCTCCTTCTTAGCACTTGCGCGCAGCACTGCTTCCTGGGGCAAAGTGGCTAAGCTGAACGAACGGCTTTCGCGTTTGCAATTTGTGACGACCTGCTTTGACAATTGGACTTTTCAATTTTGTGTCTCTTTTCAGTGATTGGTGACAGTGAATCAGTCGGTTATTTCGTGCATGGTTAATATGGACGGACCTCGGAACTAAAACGATTATCAACACCATTTATGTAAGTGTCATCTTTGAAAACATTGAGGGTTCCGACGTGTCACGTCACCTTGATGCCAAGATATTCTGTGATGTGAGCATCCCTTCTGTGGTTTGTGTCTCTGTTCGGCGCTGCCGCACAGGCCTGAACCATGCAGACCTCCCTCTGGCCTTGGCTCTTCCACGGCCACAAACGGAGCTCTCCAATCGTGTCCCCCATGACTGTTCCACCCAATGTGTCACTTCGATTGCACGGTCACCCCCTGGAATTATCTGCTCGTTTCTGAGGCGTGGTTGGGGTATCTCGAGCCCTCTTAGCCTCCACTTTCTGCAGTCTAGCATCAAACTTCTCTTTCTCAGCTTGTAGAACCCATCGTCACCGCTGACTGACGTTTTGGCTACCTGACTTGCTCAGCTTTGCTTTTCAACCCCTTACTAATGGCTTATCTTGCGCTCACCACAACTTGAGAACTGAATGACTCAGATGATGGATTACGTCATTCGTAACGTTCGGGTCATTTGACTCACTTAGATAAGAAACTGTACAACATAATATGAGCGGCATTCACGAGCCCAGCACCGTAGCAATATTGAACCCCACGTTCTTACTAAGAAAGCGTTCAAAACGTATAAAGGAGCCCAAGGTTTTGGATCCTCAACTTCATCAACTTCATCCAGTCCCTTAAACCTCACTTGTAATACCTGAAGTATCAACCACCAGCATGGCACCTTACAATGCCAAAACAACTGCCGAAGACGCCGTCAACGAGCTCAAAGACCGACTCATAGGGAAAAACGGTCGGTAGCCTCACATATACTCTAAACCGGATAATTCGAGCTGGTTGTTGGTTATAGTCGTTGTAACTGGCGTATCGCCCGGAGGACTTGGCACTGAAGTCGTTCGTGCAATTGCTCCTTATGCCAAGTTGATCTATGTGACTGGTCGTAACAAGGATCGGTATGCTTCCCTCCATAGTGGAATTCCGTTCTCGAGATACGAATTAATTTTACATAGTATCCACGAGAGCGTTACTTCCATCAAGAAAGATGTGCCGTCAGCGAACATCATCCCGATAGTAGCTGATTTGACATCTGTGGAGTCCATTCGCAGTGGCGCTTTAGAAATCACGGAACCTATTCATGTAAGTGCTCAGAGAATCTCGTCGGTCCGTAAGGCAGTGCGACCTAAAACCAGGTTCTTTTGTAGATACTGATAAACAACGCTGCAACGGCACTGTTCGAGACCCTCCACCGCTCCAAAGAAGGGTTCGAGGCTCAGTTCGGAGGAGATCACCTCGGCCATTTTCTACTTACCAACCTCCTCTTGCCACGTCTACGCGAGGCCGCGACACCAGAATATCCGGCCCGTGTTGTCGTGGTCTCCAGTTTTGTCTACAGCTTCACACAAGCTCCTGGCGGCTTCCGATGGGACGATCCTGCATTCATCAAACGACCGGAAGAATACACAAAGGCTGAAGGTTATATGCTAAGCAAAACAGCAAACATCCTTCATGCTCGTGGGATTGCGAGGAAGTTTGCAACGGACAACATTGTCGCGTACTCTTTGTCCCCTGGCATAGTGGAGACGAACATGAATTTGTCTATGCCTTTGGATGAACGAGTGGCCTTGGGGTTTTTGAATGAGGATGGTACCAAAAGGGAACATCCACACTGGAGGACCATGGCTGAGGGAGCTGGAACGTAAGTCATCTTTGTCCTTTGTCCTCGTGAGCGGATTGTGATGTCATTTGTTTGGAATGGTTCAGTGAAGTCGTAGCCGCCTTAGACCCCTCACTCCTGCCACATAGTGGGGCCTTCCTACTAGATAACCAGCCCGCTGCTAGCAAGGACGTCGCTCCGGTGATAACAGATGTACGTTCGTTTTTTTGGTTGTCCCTGTTGAAATTTCGTCTGCTGATCTCCGTGTCTATAGGAGAATGCCGAAAGGTTGTGGCGACTTAGCGAGGAGCTCCTTGCTCCATTCTAGGGCTTCTACTATGTCAATTTTGTAGGGTGGTCATTGCCATAAGCGACTGATGAGGCGACCACCTGTGTAACCTGTAACTTCATCCAGCGTGGAATAATGTAAATCAAGCGGTTTCATTCACTACTTCGAATCAGGCGGGGAAGACATGAGGCCACCAACCAGGGGCGCTGCTTTTCGTGAGTCGAAGCACCGAAGTTCGGACTTGAGTGGGTTGCAACACAAGTTGTGTGAGGAAGGGCTTACGCCCGCGATGACTGTGAAAGGGAGACAAGTTTTTTTTTGCGAACCAAGCATACATTGAAATGTGACCGACTATCTTGGCTTCTGATTTTGAAGTCCCCACAATCTCGCCCCTCGCACTGTCGTTCGACAGTTCCTGCGACTTGATTTACAACTGATGTACATACAAGAAATGCTACATCTACGATTTCCTGAACTATTTATTGTTGGTCTTGTCACCATTCATAAGTTCGCGCTCGAAGACTCTTCAAATTTGTGTAGCGTGGACACGAATTCGATAATATCTTTCGCAAGCTCGTGAGGGCACTCAAGGGCCGCAAAGTGTCCGCCCTGCATTCAGTCAGTTGAATGGTTTTTCGTCAAGTGCGAGAAAATCACCTTTTGATGTTCCCGCACAAACACAAGGTTCGTATTGTAACCAACCCAGCTTGGAGGGGGGGACAAAACCTCCTTGGGAAAGATGGAATATCCGAGGGGCTTTTTAACGCTGATATATGGTGAGTCGTCCTTTGGGTTATTATTTTATGGGAAGCGTCAGGACATCCAATCGCGCAACAGATATTTCAAACTGACGGTCCTGTACGGGTAGAGACTAGTCGAAGCACTATTCGTTACCCAGTAAACCGTCGTCAATGCAAGAATAGTATCCAACGATGGAGTTGAATCGGTCCCAGCTATGACCTTTTCGCCAATCCTAAAGAGCGCCATTACTCCCCGAATCAGAAGGCCAAGCAGTGGGACGCCGGGTAACCCCGAATGAGAACACTTACCAAGCTAACAAAGCGATAGGATTGCTGCTCAATACATGACCAATGGTGCTAGGCCGAGTGGCGTGCTCGAATGCATACGCAGAACCTGTTGCCAAGAATTTCCGTGTGTTTTTGAGCCTCTCTTCATCTGTAGGCGTAAGAGGTAGTCCCCTTGCGGGTGCTTCTTTTGCATAGAACGCGTTGACTGCGCAGCGGGATCAATATGCTATCTCAATTCGAGAGAACAGTCTCAACCCACCATGAACAGCTAGTGATGCATTAAGTGACAGCGAATGAGTAAACACTCAAAATATGTGTATGATCGTATGACACAATTACCTCTACAATGTAGGGCTTTTGATGCGATAGCACGTGCAACATGAGAGCTAATATCTCCGCCTTGAACAACATAGTTTCGGAAGCCGAGCCCAGTCACCAATTTGTCTACGATCCTTGCGATCCCTGTCATGTTGAAATTGACGTGTAAGGGTGGGCCTGACGTCCAGCCAAAACCGGGGAGAGAAGGCACAATAATATGGAATGACGGGGATTTCGATTGCTGAAGGAGAGGAATGATGTCAAGGAATTCGATGATCGATCCTAAATATGCTCTTTAGTATGCAGCAAGATAACATGGCATTGCACGCGCCTGGCCACCCGTGCAACAAAATCAGGGGAACAGCATTGGCATCGTTAGACAAGACACCAATAAAATGAACATTATAAATGGATCCATCATCGTCCGTAACGTCGACTTTCCAGTTGGGAAAAGAATTTATGCGCTTCTCATGGGCTCGCCTGCGTAAAGGGATACTTTGAGATCGATGCCATCCTGGTTAGAGGAATCATGAGGATCATCTCACCAGTCAAAGTCAGATAGCCAAGCTTCCTTCGCATTCTTGATCCATTCATCGGATATACCAAGTCCGGCTTCTGGATGAGTGCCTTCGTACGTGGTTGGAGCAAGGCGTCCTAGCCTAATGAGTGTCTTCATGTCATCCAACACATGCTCAGGGGTTTCGATCGTGAATGGTTGAGGTTGAAGAGGTCCTTTGAAAGTCATTTCGATTGCCCGAGTTGCTGTCAGCCGTAAAGATCAGGTTGGATTTTAACAGTACTGCTGGAGTATGCCGGATGATGCAGCTTGGTAAAGCACTTGATTAGTCAGACAAACTTCCCCATAGCATAGAGGTGCCATGGTTCTTGATCGAGAACTGACCGAGTTTCTGCTCGGTTGAAACAAGAGGATGACGCGGAGTTGGCCGAATCTATTCCATTGTGTACAGAACCGCACTGCGACTTGATTTTGACAACTAGTATACATAACATTCATTTTCCAACCATTCGTTATTGGTTCGTGTAGAGATGCCCGGGTCGTGCCCTGCAATCAGGCCGAGCCTGACTCGGGGGAAGTTTCAAATTTGTGCAGTGTGGACACAAACTCAATAATATCCCCCGCGAGCTCGCGAGGGCATTCAAGGGCCGCAAAGTGTCCTCCCTCAAAGTGTTCAGTCGAGTTCAGTCAGTTTGAATGGCTGAAAGAGGATTTTTGTTGATGCTAAGATTCACCTTTTTATGTTCCCGCACAAACACAAGATTCGATTTGTAACCAACCCAGCTTGGAGGGTAGGGCAGAACCTCCTTAGGGAGGATGGAGTATCCGAAAGGCTTTTTAATGCTGAGAGATGGGTCCTGCCTTGTCGCCTGTTTGGGGAGTGTCAGCTAAAATTATCATCGGAGTTGCGTCAGATGTTTCGAACTGACATCTCTGTATGGGTAGAGACTAGTCGAAGCGCTATTCGTTACCCAGTATACCGTCACCATCGCAAGAATGGTATCCAACGACGGAGTCGAATCGGTCCATGCTATGAGTTTTTCGCCGATCCTAGAGTACCAAATTCCCCGATCAGCTGGCCAAGTAGATGCTGGGTGCCCTGGCGAGAGCACTTACCAAGCCAACAAAGCGATGGGATTGCTGCTCAAAACATGGCCAATGGTGCTAGGCCGAGTCGCATGCTCGTCTGCATACGCAAAGCCTGTTGTGTGGAACTTTAGTATGTTTTTAAGTCTCACTTCGTCTGCAGGTGTAAGAGGTAGTCCTTCTGCAGGAGCCCCCTTCGCGAAAAACATGTTGACTGATGCACAACGGGATCAGTATCCCATCCTCGTTGGAGTGAACGAACTCAACCCACCGTGAGCAGCTAGTGACGCATTAGGGGACATTAAGCCAGCGAACATGAAACATATGAATGACGGAAATTACCTCTGCAATTTGGGGCCCCTGCTCCGAGGATGCGTGCAACCTGAGAGCCAATGTCTCCGCCTTGAACAACATAGTCTCGGAAGCCGAGCCCAGTCACCAATTTGTCTATGATTCGGGCTATTCCCGCAATATTGAAGTTGACGTGTAGGGGCGGGCCGGACGTCCAGCCAAAACCAGGGAGGGAAGGCACAATAATATGGAATGGCGAGGAGGTCGATTCCTGAAGGATAGGAATAATGTCAAGGAATTCGAGGACCGATCCTGAATATCCCTTTTAATACATAGCGATATGCGGACGAAATGGCACTTTACTTGCCTGGCCACCCGTGCAACAAAATGAGGGGAACAGCATTGGCATCGTCGGACAAAACCCCAATGAAATGAACATTATAAATAGACCCATCATCGTCCGTAACATCGGCCCTCCAGTTAGGAAACGAATTAATGCGCTTTTCATGTGCCCGCCTGCGTAGGCGATGCTTTGAGATTCATGCCATCGTGGGAAAAGCGGCGAGGACCATCTCACCAATCAAAGTCAGACAACCAAAATTCCCTAGCATTCTTAATCCACTCGTCGGATATACCAAATTCGCCTTCTGGATGGGTACCCTCGTGCGTGGCTGGAGCCAGACGCCCAAGCCTAATGAGTGTCTTCATGTCATCCAACACCTGCTGAGGCGTTTCGATCGTGAATGGTCGAGGCTGTAAAGGTCCTTTGAAAGCCATTTCTTTGAGTGATTGTTTAGGATCCAAGACGGTTGGGGATCAAGGGGGGGTTATATAACTTGGACGAGTGGCACTAGGAATGGTAAAGTGGATCCTCTTTCAATGAGATTTCTTGAGAGACCGAGCGATTGTTGGGCCGGGTGCATGACAAGATACACAACCTGACGGATAGGAGATAGGGTGGGAGGGAGCAAACAGAAAAGATCAAGGTAGTAGTACCGGATATCAAATAATATCTACCGAGTGTATTGCCTGCAGAGCAGAGGTCTGAAATTAATCAAATTCTGATGCTGAAAGTGATGAAATATTCTATATTAGTTGCTTCTTCATTATGCAGTTATCCCACCCTATCAAGGGGTGGTTTTTTATGCTTCAGATAGGGCCTAAACAGCCTATTTCAATGGTGAAGCGGCTTGCTACCAACATGGCCGGACTGTGGGAAAATCCGAGACGTCCTGATAACTATAAACATGCCTATCGATGTTAGGGTATTGGACAAAGATAAATGGAAATCAGCCAATAATCGAATATTAGGGTTAAGGAGGGGAATAGCGAGTGTGACAGGAATTTCGAGCATCTATCAGTACACAGCGTACCAAAAAAACAAGGAAACTTCAACACACAGCTAGAACCCGAGTACCAGACGATACCAACCACATTACCCTCACATCATGTATAGAAAGTCCCCCCCTCATGTTACGCTACGGTGTGCCTCGTGATGTCGTGGCCCGCGGGATATTCAGATCTGTTGAAATAACCACCTCAGCCTATCTGGGCGTATGGTGTAATGGCTGTGCACGCTGAGTTCGCGATCCAGAAGACTGGAGTTCGATTCCCAGTATGTCCAACTTTTAGGTTTCCCTAAAAGACCACGTGCAAATTCCAACAAGATCATCAACACTAGTTTCCCCATCACTACAACTTTGATTTATAACTAGTATACATATTTCAAAAAAACGTTACATTCATCCTCCAACCATTCGTTATTGGTCGTGTCGAGATGCCCGCGCTGCGCGCTGCAATCAGGCTGAGCCTGACTCGGGGGAAGTTTCAAATTTGTGCAGTGTGGACACAAACTCAACAATATCCCCCGCAAACTCACGAGGGCATTCAAGGGCCGCAAAGTGTCCTCCCTCAAAGTGTTCAGTCAATTAGTTGAATAGCTGAAAGAGGATTTTGTTGAGTCCTAAGATTCACCTTTTTATGTTCCCGCACAAACACAAGATTCGATTTGTAACCCACCCAGCTTGAAGGGTAGGGTAGAATCTCCTTGGGGAGGATGGAGTATCCGAAAGGCTTTTTAATGGTGAGATATGGGTGAGGGTCGTCCCTTGCCGTCTATTTTGGGGAGTGTCAGTTTAAAATTATCATCCAGATGGTTCGAACTGACAGCTCTGTATGGATAGAGACTAGTCGAAGCGCTATTCGTTACCCAGTATACCGTCACCATCGCAAGAATGGTGTCCAACGATGGAGTCGACTCGGGATCGGTCCATGCTAGGAATTTTTCGCCGATCCTAGAGTACCAAATTTTCCGATCAGCTGGTTGAGTAGATGCTAGTGCCCCGACGAGAGCACTTACCAAGCCAACAAAGCGATAGGATTGCTGCTCAAAACATGGCCAATGGTGCTAGGCCGAGTAGCATGCTCGTATGCATACGCAAAGCCTGTTGTCTTGAACTTTAGTATGTTTTTAAGTCTCTCTTGGTCTGCAGGCGTAAGGGGAAGTCCTTCTGCAGGAGCCTCCTTAGCGAAAAACATGTTGACTGCACAACGGGATCAGTATCCCATCTCCATTGGAGAGAACGAACTCGACTCACTGTGAGCAGCTAGTAACGCATTCGGGGATATCAATGAGTGAACATGAAACATGTGTGTGAGAATTACCTCTGCAATTTGGGGCCCCTGCTCCGAGGGCGCGTGCAACATGAGAGCCAATGTCTCCGCCTTGAACAACATAGTTTCTGAAGCCGAGCCCAGTCACCAATTTGTCTATGATTCGGGCTATTCCTGAAATATTGAAATTGACGTGTGGGGGTGGGCCGGACGACCAGCCATAACCAGGGAGGGAAGGCGCGATAATATGGAATGGCGGGGACGTCGATTTCTGAAGGATAGGAATGATCTCAAGGAATTCGAGGACCGACCCTGAATATGCCTTTTAGATACATACACAACAATATGCAGACGAAATGGCACTTTACTTACCCGGCCACCCGTGCAACAAAACGAGGGGAACAGCATTGGCATCGTTGGACAAGACCCCAATGAAATGAACATTATAAATAGTTCCATCGTCGTCCGTAACATCGGCCCTCCAGTTAGGAAGAGAATTAATGGACTTTTCATGTGCCCGCCTGCGTAGGTAATACTTTTGAGATTTATGCCATGGTGGAAGAGCCCTCATGCACGAGGACCATCTCACCAATCAAAGTTAGATAACCAAAATTCCCTAGCCTCCTTAATCCACTTGTCGGATATACCAAATCCGCCTTCTGGATGGGTACCCTCGTACGTGGCTGGAGCCAGACGCCCAAGCTTAATGAGCGTCTTCATGTCATCCAACACCTGCTGAGGCGTTTCGATCGTGAATGGTTGGGGCTGCAAAGGTCCTTTGAAAGCCATTTCTTTGAGTGATGGTTTAGGTCCCAAGACGTCTAAGGGGGGAGGGTTAAGTAACTTGGCACTGAATGTCGTCATCCTAAGGGGCTAAAGTGGAACCTCTTTCGATGGAGATTTCCCGAGCCACATGAAACTGACCTCGATTGTCGGGCCGGGTATAACGTGAGCCGGGTATAAACATGAAAGGGGCAACGAGAAAGATACACAAAATTGGCAAGATACACAACAAGACGGATAGGAGATAGGGTAGCGCGGAAAAGGGAGAGCAGACAGAAAACAGAGAGATCAACGAAGTAGTCCCGGATATCGAATAATACCGAGTGTATCATGCATAGAGGAGAGCACGAGAGAAGCCATGGGACCTACCACTGTTATCCGACATCCCCATCCTCATGATACCCACTTATAAACTCGCTGTAGGCTACATCAGGGAGCGCGCTGTCGCGTTGTCACATGACCGAGGGGTAACAAACAAGATCTAAACGAAAAGAGAAAAGACGGTGACAAGCTCATGAACGTGAAACCCAGCACCGAATTGCAAATGACCGGGAACCCACTTACCGAAGGTATCCGACCTAACGCTAAACGTCTGCGCGGAACACCAGACCTATGGAATGACTGGTAAATGCGGACAATCAGTATTCAAAGCAGCATGATGGCGAGAGAGCAGTTTTTGATTTACATTTGTTTTGAGTTAGTTTCATCGGTCAACCAGGCTCGCACCCTTCCCCCTCTGGCTATTCTCCTAGCATCGGCGGGTGGGACTGGGTACGAGTCCGTCGGTCCACGCGAGGGTGAACTGTTTCGTGGTATATAAATCCGACAGCCCAGCGCTGTCCGAATTTGACATCTAGTCACCTGCCTATCATTGGGCGTCCTTCCCCGCATCACCCGTTCTTCCATGCAAGACGCGAAAGAGCCTGTAGCACCCGATCAGAGGTGTAGTGTATGATGGCGGCAACGTGATACTTCAACGAGAGTCCTTGGCGTCATGGGAATGCAGGTTCAGACTGAAGTTGAAAGCCCGTGATACAACATCACTCAACTTGTTTCATGAGTATCCACGGAGCGAATACGTTTTCGTGCATCTGCCTAAATTTTCAAGCCAACCAGGTTTACCTCCAGCCGCTCAAAGAAAGCAGGTAATTCCCGCTTTCACAAATTGCAAAATTTCGAGACGATCATCGGATTTCAAGTTTATGTTGCCAAAACCTGAAGCAAGGAAGGAGAATGCATAACAAAGCAAGCGTGCTAATTATTGGACATAAGTAACTAGAAAAGACATGTCAAAGCAAACGTAAAGATAAAATAGACCAGGCAGCATGTACGTCCATTCAGATGGAATCGGAAATCACCAAAAATATGCCCTCAAATTCGTCGTTCCCGCTGGCTGACCCGTGACTACTGGCCTGGCATGCGTCTTCAAGGCATTACTTAGGCCAGCCGGAGACACTTGACCATATTCACTTAGAGCAAGGGCAAGCACACCCGCAACGTATGGAGTTGCCATGCTAGTGCCGCTCAACCTGGCTGTGGCAGTCGTGCTACCGATCCAAGCACTCAGAATGTTAACACCAGGGGCGAAAACGTCGATAATGGATCCGTAGTTGGAGAAGGACGCTATCCTGTTCGTACTGCCGTCGACAGCGCCAATGGTGTTAGCATCCATGACAGATGCAGGACTTGTGTTCCTTGCGTCCACCGCGCTGTTACCTGCAGCGATTGTGAAGTGCAATCCACCGGCGATGGCATTGTTGACGGCACTATTAAGCGCAGTGGACAAAGGTCCGCCAAGGGACATCGTAGCGATGGAAGGAGCACGAGTCGTTCGGAATTGGTTATAAGCGAAGTTGACGCCTGAGATGATGTCGGAGTAGGACCCACTACCCTGATCGGAGAGAACCTTGATCGCGACGATTCGTGCCGAAGTCGCCACACCATATGTAGTTCCGACGGCTGTCCCAGCGGTGTGTGTACCATGGCCGTTACCATCCCTGCTGGCATAACCGCCAAAGGTCTGCAAAATGACAAACAGAGATGAGTGAACATATATGATGGAACGAGTAAGGGAGCAAACGCACGGCACCCCAAGAAGCACGTCCACCGAAGCAGGAGTGTGCAGTGTATATTCCGGTATCTATCCCGTAAACAACGACACCAGCCCCACCCGCAGCGCGGCCCCCGAATTCAGCCAAACCGTTCGTCAATTCAGACGGAGCATCCTCGCGCTCTACCTCATTCTCCTCGTGGACATCATATTTAATGGAAGCTATGCCATCAGGCTCGACGTAGTCAACGTCGGGGGAAATGAGGATGTGATTAAGAGGTGGGCCAATTGCTTGTACAGAGTAAGCGTGCAGAACCCCTAAAATGACGATATAATGAGATTTTTTTTCAAGGGGAAAGATTCTCCGATACTAACTTTCATCATACTGGTGAGTGATTGATAGTTCTGACCCAGGGCTCCGAGTGGCTAGTTCAGTGAGTTCCTTGATATGAGCTTCCATGTTTGTGCCAGGTTTCAACACGCTAATCAACGAGTTAGCTAAGCTTTCAAATCGGAGAGACCTGTAGGGTTGACATACACTATGTACGAGTTGGGCTTGACTGGACCACTCGACGTCTTGATAGGAAGAGGAAGACGAGCAGCCAGGGCCGTCGTGGTGGTGGATATCACAGCGAAAATAGTTGCTGCTGCCGAAAACTTCATCGTTTATAGCCAATGGATGGAAATTGTGAAGGAAAAGTTGTTTAAGTGTAGGCGGGGATCAAGATGGAAAGACAACTTGTTGGCGAGCAAGAAGGAACCTCCCAAAGAGCCATATTTATAACCTATCAAACTCGACGGAAAAGCTTATTAGAGTCTCGGTGAGTTGGACGACGCGGATGGATTCACGCCACATGTGGCGGGTCGGAGCACGGATGTCTCGTGGTTAAGCATTATGCGTAAAATTGTTCCTCTTTGCGCATAATCGGCGATCTGTAAGGTATGCCATAATCCCGCCACAGCGGGAGTGGTAAGACGGGTGTAACCTCTGACCGAACTGAGGGAGTGACACTTGACAATTTTGGAACGTCATCTTGGCAGGCTCGGTGTGGGACAATTGAGACAAATGAATTCTGCCAACTTCCGCCACAATACAACCCCGTGGCTCCGTGGGAAACAATTGTGTGAGCCAAAGTCATGTAAACACTTGTAAACACTGCTCATGATTGTTACCGGGCGTATTGCGTCATGTTGTCGGCGTGAAGATCCCACCTGCAATGGCCGGCATCGTGTTGGAGAACAGCACTAGCGTGCAACCTTCTTTCGGAAATCTCCGAAAAGGCTTCGTCTCATCCCCAAATAGTTCTTGCATGACTGCAACTTGATTTATGACTGATGTACATATACAGGAGATGCTACATTCATTTTCCCCGGGCTATTTATTGTTGGTCTTGTCGAGATGCCGCGGAGGCTGGTATCCTACAACGCTGGGTAAGGGGACTTTTCAAATTTGGGCAGTGCGGACACGAATTCGATAATATCTTGTGCAAGCTCGTTAGGGCACTCAAGGGCCGCAAAGTGTCCTCCCTCCAAGCGAATAAAGCATTCAAGTTTAAGTTAGTTGGGTGTCTGAAAAGGATGTTTACATCATTTGCCGGATTCACCTTTTGATGTTCCCGCACAAACACAAGGTTTGAATTGTGACCTAGCCAGCCTGGAGGGTAGGATAGAATCTCCTTTGGGAAGATGGAGTATCCGAGGGGCTTCTTGATGCTGATATAAGGTGGGGGGTCGTCAGCTGCCAACTATTTTGGAGAAATGTCAGATAGGATTATCATTCAATTGCAGTAGATATAGATCGAAACTGACGGCCCTGTACGGGTAGAGACTAGTCGAAGCGCTATTCGTTACCCAGTAGACTGTCACCATCGCAAGGATGGTATCTAACGTTGGAGTCGAATCGGTCCATGCGATGACTTTTTCACCAATCCTAGGGTACCATACTCCCCGATCAGCAGCCCCCAGTGGGAACGCCGATGAGAACACTTACCAAGCCAACAAAGCGAGAGGATTGCTACTCAATACATGACCAATGGTGCTGGGCCGAGTACCCTGCTGAATTCCATACCCGTAACCTGCCGTCATAAATCCCCGTGTGCTTTTAAGTCTCTCCTCGTGTGCACGCGTGAGAGGTGGTTTCGTCGCGGGTTCTCCCCTAGAAACGAACATGTTGACTGAGAAACGGGATCAATAGTTTATCCCAATCGGCGAGAGATCGAATCCAAACTCACTATGAACCGCTAGTTTGACACGTTAAGCGACACCATATGAATGAGCGTGAAATATGTGTGTCATCGTATCAAATAATTACCTCTGCAATTTTGGGCTTTCGATCCAATGACGCGTGCAACATGAGAGCCAATATCTCCACCTTGAACAACGTAGTCCCGAAAGCCTAGCCCAGTCACGAATTTGTCTACAATTCTCGCCACTCCTGAAACGTTGAGGTTGACGTGGGGGGGTGGGCCGGACGTCCAGCCATAACCAGGAAGGGAGGGCGCAATAATGTGAAATGACGGAGACTTTGACTGCTGAAGGATAGCAATGACGTCAAGGAATTCAATGATCGATCCTAAAAAACTGCTTTTAATACACAGCCAGTAACACGCAGTTTATATCAAGTAGCACTGTACCTACCTGGCCACCCGTGCAACAAAACCAGGGGAACAGCATTGGCATCGTCGGATAAGACACCAATGAAATGAATGTCATAAATAGTTCCATCATCGTCCGTAACGTCGACCTTCCAGTTAGGAAAAGCATTTATGCGCTTCTCGTGAGCCCGCCTGCGCCCGTGCGTGAGTGATATGTCCATAATTTGGCATCCTGGAATGGGGGGGAGGGTCATCTCACCAATCAAAGCTAGTCAGCCAAATTTCCCTCGCGTTCTTTGTCCACTCATCGGATATACCAAGTCCAGCTTCCGGATGCGTGCCCTCGTACGTAGTTGGAGCCAGACGTCCAAGTCTAATGAGCGTCTTCATGTCATCCAACACTTGCTCAGGCGCTTCGATCGTGAATGGTTGAGGTTGAAGAGGTCCTTTGAAAGCCATTTCGTTGGATAATCTTCCGGGTTCCAAGATGGATGTCAGCTTTGGGGGGGGGGGTCAGTTGGGGTTATATAGCTTCGATAGCATTGCTTGGAGTGTCCTGGATGGTGCATTCTGTAGTTTTCACGGACCGGCCTTACATTTGGTATGTCCCGACTGAATCGAGAACCAAACCACGGTAACTGCCATGGAACCCGAACCCGAACCTCAAACTTCGGTTGAACGTGATTTTCACAAGCGGTCAGGAATGCGGAGTGCGTTCGCCCATTTTGTAGTGGGTCAGTCGTTCAGTTTGATTGTGGCTGGCTCCCACACTCACGTGGAGCCAAAGCCAGTTGGGCCTCAGTATAGCCACCAAGCCACCCATGCTGCAATAGCGGGATCGTCAGGATGACGTGTAGGCGCGAACAATATACAGTAGAATTCTGTGTGAACCAGCCGCTGAACGACATAGCGTGGGAAGGTGTACCGTGTTGCATCTCACCGACATTTGCCACAATTTACACAAAGCTCCAGTCGTGTCATGCGGCATCCCCCCCCGAACTATCGCTCGAGTAGATCTCGCATGAGACTGCGACTTGGTTTATGATTGATGTACAATGCGAGAGGTGCTACATATTCCATTTATATTTGTTGGTCTTGTCGAGATGCCGTGAGCCGCCTTCACAAGGCCGGGTAAGGGGACTTTTCAAGCCTGGGTAGTGCGGACACGAATTCAATGATATCTTGTGCAAGCTCGTTGGGGCACTCAAGGGCCGCAAAGTGTCCTCCCTCCAGTGAATAAAGCATTTCAGTCAGTTTTCAGTTAGTTGGACGTCTGAAAAGGATGTTTACGTGCCAGATTCACCTTTTGATGTTCCCGCACAAATACAAGGTTTGTATTGTAAGCTAGCCAACCTGCAGGGAAGGATAGAATCTCCTTAGGGAAGATCGAGTATCCGAGGGGCTTCTTGATGCTGATATAGGGTGGGGGATCATCAGCTGCCAACTGTTTAGGGGAGTGTCAGATAGGATTATCTTCCAATTCCAACGGATTTAAAACTCACAGCCCTGTATGGGTAGAGACTAGTCGAGGCGCTACTGGTTACCCAGTACAGCGTCACCATCGCAAGAATGGTATCCATCGTCGGGGTTGAATCGGTCCATGCTAAGACTTTTTCGCCAATCCTAGGGCACAATACTCCCCGATCAGCAGCCCCCAAGTGGGAACGCCGGATGCGGTGATGAGAACACTTACCAAGCCAACGAAGCGAGAGGATTGCTACTCAATACTTGACCGATGGTGCTGGGCCGAGTACCTTGCTCGATTCCATACCCGTAGCCTATCTTTAGGAATTCCTGGGTCTTTCTAAGCCTCTCTTCGTCTGCAGGTGAAAGAGGTGGTTTTGTTGCGGGTTCTCCCTTAGAGACGAACATGTTGACTGGGAAGCAGGATCAGTATCATATCCCAATTAACGAGAATGACTCTCAACTCACTGTGAACAGCCAGTCACACATGAAGCGATATCGCATGAGTGAAAAATGAAATATATATCTATCACATGGAAGGGTTACCTCTACAATTCTGAGCTCTCGATCCAATGATGCGCGCAACATGAGAGCCAATATCTCCACCTTGAACGACGTAGTCCCGAAAGCCTATTCCAGTCACCAATTTATCTACAATTCTCGCCATTCCTGAAACGTTGAGGTCGACGTGCGGGGGTGGGCCAGACGTCCAGCCATAACCGGGGAGGGAAGGCGCAATGATATGGAATGACGGGTATTTCGATTGCTGAAGGATAGGAATGATGTCAAGGAATTCGATGATCGATCCTAAAGACCTGCTTTAATACCCAGACACACACATAAGCAGTGTTACGTACCTGGCCACCCGTGCAACAAAACCAGGGGAACAGCATTTGGCTCGTGGGAGAAGGCCCCAATGAAATGGACGTGATAAATGGTTCCATCATCGTCCGTAACGTTGACCCTCCAGTTGGGAAAAGAATTGATACGATTCTCATGGGCCCTCCTGGGTAAGTGATATCTTCATGATTGTTCATGCTGGAGTGCGAAGGATCATCTTACCAATCGAAGTCAGATAACCAAGCTTCCTTGGCATTCTTAATCCAGTGGTCTGATATACCAAGTCCAGCTTCTGGATGCGTACCCTCGTACGTGGTTGGAGAAAGATGACCAAGCTTAATGAGCATCTTCATGTTATCCAACACTTGCTCAGGCGTTTTGATCATGAATGGTTGAGGTCGAAGAGGTCCTTTGAAAGCCATATCGTTGAATGATTTCCCGGGTCCCTTGAGGGTGACTGCCAGCTATAGGGATCAAGTTGGGGCTATATAGCTGATGGACACTGCCTGCCGCGGCAAGCGCCCACCCACTGCTCTGTCGTTTTGGGGGATGGTGTTTCGTTTCAGTTATCTGATTTGGCGGGGCCTGAGTCCCGGCGAATGCAAGAACCCATTTTTTGAGAAAAACGCAGACGTCATTCTTATCCACAGCACCACAAACTGTACAAACTAAGCGTCTGGGATGCAGCGCAGACACCAGCGGGTAACAGCTGTGCAGCAAATGAGTTTTGCCAGAGCGGCTGCAGTTGGAAAGCCAAGGAGGTTTCCACAGCGCGAATTCCCCGAATGGGTAAGCTAAAATTGAGTGGGAGATGCTCAGAAATGAAATCTCTAGGTTTGTCTCTATCTTTTCTAGCGCCCGAAACAATGAGCGTTTCCTTTGTTTGACATTGGCTGACATTCGGCCAATACAAATGTTGTGCAGCGGCTTGCCAAGCGATTCTTTTCCGGCCGTTTCCGTGAAACCGATTACAATTCATATGATTTGACACTTCAATTTCCATTTTCCCATAATTATCATCTTCGCCATCAACGCCAACAGACGACTTTATGGACTTCTAGGTATTGGGTGAATTATTGCTATTAATAAATTATGACGCTTGTATTCATACAGAGTTGTGCTGTCCATGAAGACAGCCCCAACTTGCGCCGAGACTTCTGAATCGAGGACACGACCCGGTGTTCAATAGGTACAACCAACAAGACAAAAGAAACAAACCGGCATGTATACATAACCGAGGTGACAGAAAGGAGGAAGGCAGAGGGGTAAAGACAGTGTACAACCGGCGAGAGATGTAAAAGAGAACCAACCAAAACACGGGAACACCCAATGATGCAAATAAACGGGATCCCACTCAATTGCGGAAGGCATCTGAAGGGCATAAAACTCCTTCACCTACTGCAAGACCGACTATTCACGACACGAATCCAATTAGAGGCCTATACTAAGTCTGAATGAAAAATCATTAGCAATGAGTAGGTTAAGAGGGTAGCGACCAAGGAGAATAAAAAGCATGTGAGCTGCGCGCGTCAGCCGGATACGTTCCTCCATTAAATCGTAAATTTGATGAAAAACCATGCTTTTACCGTAAGAATCTCGGATCCCCAAGTCAAATTTCCAGCCTTTGCCGGCCCCGGAAGAGCTATACGAAGTCATAGAGGCTGGAGTCCTGCCTGCGGAAGAGCGAATCAGCAATTTTAGAGGACTTGTTGCTCGGAAGATAAACTTTACAGGTCCCCCCACGGAATGGTGAGCCAAACCAAGAACCGAACTGCGGTGGAACCGACGATGTAGTTCTGTTCGTTGAACGCCATTTCAGCAGGATATTGACGCTCATGATTACCTCTCGCATCACGAAATCGGAGAAAAGACCTGGTATAGAGACTCTCCAGAGCGCCTGTCTGATTTGCGTGATGGTGCTGTTGATTAAGAACTAGAATATTTCACAGCCTGACAAAAAGGTATGGCACGTTCGCGTCCGTTCGAAATCATTAATTGATGGTCCGGACACCACGACCCAGTGTAGGAGCTAATTACGAATGAACACATGCTGCGAGCGTGGCGCAGCCTGGCGGCTGAAAGGTCTGCCCCCGGTATGATGCACATATATTCAGGAGAGTTTCGAACGGGAAGGCGCCCGGGACACTGGACGGACAGCGTAAACTAGGCGATATGACTGAAAGTACCCAGTCTCCATTCGATATCACCACCGGTCCGTATAAAGGATTGGACAAAAATCACCTACGGGCGCGAGGAATAAGCAAGCCCTTCACCCGGTATGCTTCTAAACGAAATAAAAATAAGGCGCTCGTGGTGCAATCAAAGCAAAATCGATCGGCAGACTCGACACAAGTTATTGCTACGTCGGGGGAACAATGCCATCAACCCAACAAAAGCAAAGAATAGCGCGCAAGCCTAATTCATAATGACGGGCAATGGGGAAGTAAGCGAGGGAAGAAAAATACAGAAACGAGGCACCCGTGACAAGAGTTGAAGGCTCGCGTTGGGGATCTGTAGCCGTGAGTAGAGTCCGTGAAATGAAAATCAGAATCAGGAAAGCCAGCACCGTATCGACGCTAGCACGTAATGGGAAGCAGAAAAGAAATGGGTGGCAGTGTGGGAACGTGGCTATGCAAAACCGAACTGCCGATATCTCCACCGTAGTCCCGAAAGCCTATTCCAGTCACCAATTTGTCTACCATTCTCGCCATTCCTGAAACGTTGAGGTTAACGTGCGGGGGTGAGCCAGACGTCCAGCCATAACCGGGGAGGGAAGGCGCAATGATATGGGAATGACGGGTATTTCGGTTGCTGAAGGATAGGAATGATGTCAACGAATTCGATGATCGATCCTAAAGACCTGCTTTAAATAATACCCAGCAACACACATAGGCAGTGTTACGTACCTGCAGGCCATCCGTGCAACAAAACCAGGGGAATAGCATTTGCGTCGTGGGAGAAGGCCCCAATGAAATGGACATGATAAATAGTCTATCTATAAATTGATACGCTTCTCCTGAGTAAGTGATATCTCCACGTTTGTTCATTTGGAGTGGGAGGGCTCGTCTCACCAATCGAAGTCGAATAACCAAGTTTCCTTGGCATTCTTAATTTAGTGGTTGGATATACCAAGTCCAGCTTCTGGATGGGTGCCCTCGTACGTGGTGGGAGAAAGAAAACTTAATGAGCGTCTTCATGTCATCCAACACATGCTCAGACGTTTCGATCGTGATTCCAAGAGTATCTATTCATTTCGGTGCTTGCGCGCCGAAAGCTTGGCCATTCAGTTTGAGGGGAACCTTGACGTCAGAGTTCTTTATCGTTGCACTGGGTCGTGTCCTCAATTCAGAAGTCTCGGCGCAAGTCGACACGCTACATCTCCCTTGAGCCACTTCTGCATGAAGACAAAGCGTGCATCAAATATCAAATTACATATGTATATGGATCTGCAGAACGAAACGTCCGTTTTTGTTGATCAGGCACGTAGGGGTGCAACAGCCGCGACATCCACTGTTCGCCTTACTTATAGTCATCGCTAAGAAAGGTGTCGTATGTCATCGCTTCCGTAGTAACAACGCGACATAGAACAACACGCGATAAATGACCGCGATCAGAATCATAATCCCCGCGTACAACCCAATACTGAATCCTCCAATACCAAGGTTCTGAAAAACAAAAAAGTCATGATCAACGTTTCGAGCGCCCAATGGGAGGGAGAGAATGAAATCCACAACTTACATCCAAAACATCCTCGCCAGTCAGTGCGCACTGCCCAGAGGCAACGAGTGAACTAGGATATGAGCATTGACATCCTCCGTTGTCAAGTCTTGTGCATTGGAAGACCAGTCCCGTCAAATCATTCCGCACTAGCAGGTTAAACGCGAATGTCTATTTTAAAAAAGATCCCCTTTCAGATCCCTACACCCCAGGCAAGCAAACTAGCCAAGAACAAACCTGATAATCAATCCAATGTGCCCAATAATACCAGAACCTCGGCAAGCTGACAGCACGGATGAAATACCCTTGGACGCACTGAATCGCGATCAGAAACTTTGTTGCCTTCAAAGTTGAAAGAACCCACCATCCAAAACCCATTCATGAATGACGCGATAGCCAGCGCCGCCACGAATATAGGGATGACAGCAGCAACGAAAACGGACTGTGCCTCGGCATTGTAAACTCCCAGGAAGAGAAACGATAAGAAACGGAAGAAAGCGGTCGCTCCCGGACGCAAGCCGATGGCCCAGTAACTTTGTCATCAAAACATCAAATCAGCATTGTCTCGCAGAGAGTTTGGGCGTGGTGTGCTAACCAGATGACAGCAAAAAGAACCGAACAACTGAAGAGAAATGGTATCGTCACGAGTGAATTGGCAATGACGTATGCGCCTGGACCGTAAAGCCCATTGTTCCTCCTAGAAATGGAACGATCAAGTCTCATATCCCTTCAACTCCCGAGGGGAACTCACTCTCGAACAAACACGGCTCGCTCTTCAAGGAAAGATGGAATGCCCGCCACACTGTGGGGATGGGGTGCCACCAAAATAACGAGAATTAAAAAGTCAAGCGGACAGTGAGTAGATTAAATTCACCTCATGAAGCCAAGGAATGCAACGGAGAAAAAATGGACCTAATGTTTGTGACGATAAAGTTGAGAGAACCTAGTTGACTACGGGGTACATACCGAAAGCCTATCATTAATCTTAGTGTCCTTCGTGCCAAGATTGATCCAAATAGTAGCCAGAAGCAAACCTATACCGGCTTGGTGAACCAAAGTAATCTCATGTCAAAACTACCCGTTTCGAAGGAGAGAGGGATGACGCGTACCATACATTCCAACACGAATTCCATACGCCAGCAAATTCCGCCTATAATTAAGCACGCTCCTCTCCATGAGAATCCCCGTCCGATATACCGATAAATTCAGTGCATTCCCAAGACCCCTTCCCCTACTCTCCACACGAAGTGATAACGCCATTGGTAGGACACGTTCCGCAAGTTCCTCACTACCAGCGGTTTCCCCAGTGGTATTTCCATGTTCTCCTTCCACCGGAGTAGGTAAAGAAGCAATGAATGCAGCTCCTCTCTCAGACCAAGAATCTGCAAGATACTGCACCCGTCTCTCATGATCTTCCTGTGACAAAGCACCAGGTTGGGTAAGGGGAACGTCTGGAGTAGGACGAACTTCAATCTCCTGTTCTGAGGGTGGACTTGTGGTGGTGACTGAGTGTGAGAAGTCGACATTAATGAGACTGATAACGTGGTCTGCGGGATTTGAGTGTGGCGGACAAGGATGGCCAACTTGGGAGAAGTATGGAATAACTCCGCCTTGTTTCCAATTAGTGTGTATAATTGCGCCAGGGGGGAGGTAGGGGATAACAACTCACTTATCGGACCGTGGTAAACGCACTTTCCTCTTGCGAGAAATAGGACTTCGTCAAATAGCGAAAATGTCTCCCAGTTCGGTTGATGAATGGTCGCAATAACGATCGTATTCGTTTTCCGAGCCAGCTTCTTCACTATTGGGACGAATGGTTCGTTAGAAGGTTATACGTACTCAAAGACCGAAATGATTTCAAAGTGGAATGCATACTCAACTTGATTGAACTACACCCCAACCACCCGTACTATCCAGCCCACTGGTAGGCTCATCCAGCACCAATACTTTGGGACGTGATACAACGCTGCATGCGATCGTAACTCTACGCTTTTCGCCACCCGAGACACCTCGCTGAATGGGGGTCCCGATTCGGTTATTTCGTACTGAAGTTAAACCTAGCGAAGTTAATGTATCTGAGACCAATTGTGATATGGCGGGTCGGGGCGCTGAAGGGGGAAGACTGGTATGAAGAAGTTTGTGGATTGAGTGATTAGAACGCAATGCACTATCGGACGGATGAACGGCGGCCCACCTTAGCCGGGCTGCATAGTCCACCGTCTCATGGACAGTGAGAACACCTATAAGAGCATCTTCCTGCTCCACGTATGAACCTATATCTCTCATTTTAAAATCGGCAGTCCCATCGAATAAAATCTGAAAATGAACGTCATCATTGATCAACGAATCGCACATGTGTGAATTCCTCAGCTTACCGAGGCATTCTGATCTGAAGGCTGGACACGTTGGCTGATGAGATCCAGAAACGTAGACTTCCCTGCCCCAGAGGGACCCATCACTATGATTGCCGATGAATGAGTGGTCTCTCTTACTTGGTTCAACAAGGAAACCCACCGGCCAACAATTTTCCCGACTTCAAAGAGCCGCTTTGTGGAGACAAGATCATCTTGAGGGCTTTTTTGTCGGTCCCGTTGATGGCAGGGGCATTGACTGATAGTGATAAGTTCTTCCACTCCAGTATATGCGACGTATTAGCTTTCTCTGCTAATGTTTGAGACTACGAAACACACAGTAGGTAGACCAAAAGATCAGCAAACTATCCTCAGGCCAACCATGTTGGATTTTTCCAGACTGGAAAGGCTCGATCGGCAAGATTCACCTCGACATCCATATTAGTGCTCATATCAGCTACAACAAGCTCGATATGACTGGGGAATTGCTAGGAAGAGGAAGAGGAATGATAGGTTTGGAGACCTTCAACACGGGTATTGGGATATAAGAGGCTCAAGGGCAGGTATGAAATATGCGATTTCGGCTTTTTTTGGTAAAGGCACCGCTAACCACCGCAAGTTACCCAGTTACTACGAGCGGCAAGTTTTTTTTGGCGACAAAAGTGGCCGCAGCCCTGATACGCTTTATATCGCTGCTAGAGGAAACTCTGGCGATTCCACTAGGGCAGGAGAAAGTTTCCTAGAGGTGATGCAGAGGGAGAGATTACACATATTGACTGACGACTGTGACGTTGCAAGAAGACTCGGCTGAATTGGATGGCGATCGTGGGAACAGCCGCACGGTCACACACTCTTGCAACCGCACGAATGCAACACAGGCGACAGACATGCAGTGGTAGCTTTTTTTTTGAAGCACATTCTGGTTATCGTTCTCGTTTTACAGTGTCTCGCCATGAATTCAGTAGGGGCAGCTCAATCCGTGCGCAGAACCACCAACAAACTCCCTCTCCCAAATGTTGCCTTGAATGAGATTCAATTTCCCAGCTTCTTTCGGGCTCACAAGCCCCTTATTCCCCTGAACGGGCGATCGAGAAGTACAAAACCGTTTGAGTTGTTTGACGAGCCCGTGGGTTATGTGCAACACTCAGAGTGAACACCTCCATCAGTTGACGCACCCGCCATGAATCAGGCACGGCTTTAACCGGAATCCTGCGGTTAGGCAACAGCAATCTAACATCCGATTTGGTCAACCCCAAAGCCAGGTTTCGAACGCTCCTACAGGCTACTGAAAAATCCTCCCCCACTTTTGACTCCCTCATCCCGGGCCGCCACAATCTGAGTTGAAGTCGACGGACCTAAGTCCAAGGGGCAACTACCCGAATGTTTTGGTCGGGTTTAGTGGGGGAGCTCTGCTGGGATAGCTGCACTATATAATACCTTACCATGGGTTTTGTGCGTATGCGGAAACTCGCAATGGCAGAGAACAGAATTCCTAACAGTCGTGGAGGGTGCCCCCCAAAACGACATGAAGGACATTACATGAGTGACGCCTGCCGCGCACGGGGGTGGATTTTGAGATGGACATTGACTCATGCATTGGAAGGTGTAAGTTTATCGACTACGTGCCATTGCTTCAATAACAAATCCACCTTCCTTTCCTGCTAGACCCAAATCCTCAACCAAAACACAAGCTACAACCCAGAGTGGTCTGCCTCCACAGGAACCGCGAGGAGGGTGACGAGCCGCATGTCAATCATCATGTCCTTGGGCTGAATATCGTGAGACCGGGGATCCAGGCGACAGAGGAGCATGCCCGTGGTTTGTCTCCATTACCACGGGCAACACGGAACGTCCCTGCGAGTGGACAGCAGGGCTTCCGTCTGAACTCATCCTTTTGAAGATCCACATCGCAACAACTGCAACCAGGCCAAGGGCAATCACACCTCCAATCACGCCTCCGACAGTCACACCGATGTTCGAGCCCCTGCTCCCATGTGCACCATTGGAAGCTGTGGAAGTGCTTGATGCGGTGCTACTGAGTAAAAACACTCGAGAGCTTTCGGGTCTATCTAATAGTCAAGTCAAACGATCCCGTGAATACGCGATGAGTGTTCCGAGAATGAAAACGCACCACTGATTGTCTTCGCTGCATCCAAGTTGAAGCTAAGGATCACGGGGAAAGCGAGCTATCAGGATGTGAATTCTGATCAGAAGTATATAGCGAACTGACAGTCCAGCAAAGTCGGAGGGCTTCATGTAGGCCCATCGAGGTATAAGGGTTCCGGTGGGTATCAGCGATGGTTGGTATTCACCCTCTGCATTCGCAATGCCAGCGCAATAATGTCCCCAGAGGGGATACCTATATTACCTGTTAGACATGGAAGAGTAAGTAAACACGATCCACATACGACGTGTATGAGCGGTTCTGACATGCTCCACAAGCTGCCATCAGCTGGTATACCACGGAAGAACACAGGCCTATGGGTGAGTTTTAGAATCCAAGCCACTGCCGGCGCCGGAGCACACACAAGCATTTGGGAAGTAACCCGATGAACTTAGCGACGGGCCTTTGTCCCTCAGTGAGCTCAAGGCTACGTAAATCGGAATTTGCGCATACCGATGTATTCCCCTCCCGGAGGGAGCGGACCCACGAGCCATTTCCCTGATGAAGTCATCAAAGCTCTTGTCAGCGCAGAAAAATGATGTGTATTATGTAACGGAAACCCCACCTCCAGCACCTACTGCAATAAGTTCCGAGCCGACTTTGCAAGGAGATTTTCTAGTCATTGAATCGTAAGCGCTGCAGCTGATACGTGCCACCATCGGCTTACCCTTGGGAATTGAAAGCCTAAAGAAATAGGAAAGAGGATCAGTTGCGCAACTCAGCGAACGATGCAGGCCTCTATGTTATTCACCCACTGAAAGTCATGGGGACAAGTCACATTGGCCTACGGGGCACCCAACAATCCCAGGGGGTCCACGCGCTTAGCTTTCCTCAAAGGCTTAAAAAAACAGCCGCCTCCCAGAGGCACGCACCTCTTGAGCCGAGACCTTGTCGACCCCTAAACCTAGGAAGAGCTCGAAGAGACAAGCTTGGCGGATAATCAAGGTAGTTACAAGAGATCCAGTGAACCCTTTTACATTTTGTGACTGGAAAGACGGCATTCTTTGCGTGATTGGCACAGTTCGATCCAAGCTCAGAGCAGTAGGCGACCAGCCTCTTTTTAACGGGTCAGAGCAGGAGGTCGAGGGAAAACTGCGTTTGCATAGGCAGGATACCACCCTCTACAGATGAGGCTGGGCACCCCTTCCAACATTTCAAATCGCATTAAGGAACGGATTCTCACATAATCAATATAAAAGCGTAATACCTGTCACCGACTCGAGTAACAGTGACTCATCACCATCCACTTTAATGCTTCATTCCTCAATGCCATCTCTTTACGTATCGGTACTGACTCATTAGTTCGCATGCTGCTTGAGGACTGAGGACTGTTAAGAATGAAACTGTCGTCCCTTTGTCCGACTCTTCGATGCCGCTCGATTTCTCATTGAGTTTTGACTTCACACTCTCATTGGTTGGTTTCGCGACATTCAGATTGCCCAGCAACTTTCACATTGTCTTCACTCGCCTCACTTAGGCAGCATCTATGCACACAACGGCCAAGAATCACTCTTGAGCGCTGCGGACTTTGACCATCGTTCCGATGTATGGCATTCCGGCAGTGGAATATGGTGCGCTGTCCGTGCCTCACCCTCACTGTAAACAGAGACTGTGGCACAGTAATGTCCATTCTACATTAATATTGTCTTTAACCCTGGCGTGCACGTCAACGACAACTCGGACAGAACAAGATCGAGAAGGCAGTGCTCAGCCAGACAACTTCGGTGCGAGCAACTAACAAGTGACAACACAGGGGAGTGCAATGCCCCAGAAGATTTAGCAGGGAAAATTGATTTACCCAAGGCAGGGGAGAACATGGTCTACATGGTTTTATGTTCCTAGTACGTATCTGTGGTCCACTGTGGTCCCACTCTTTTTCTCATTTCAATTTTCGGTTGCGCTTATCGCAACCAGTTCAACTATGTAGTACGTAGAATTGGACAGTTGCCGCCGAAATCGGGTTCCCAATACACCGGCAACACATCACAGGTCCGCAGGGATGAGCCGGTCAGCATATGATTGCAGGTTGACGTGGCCGGGTCTGTGCGTTAGTTATGTTTTGGGACTTCATCGCCCCGAAGCGATCTGTTCAGTCATAGACCTAGTTTGCAAAGGATCCAGATACAGCAACAGACTATGTTGCAACAGCAAGCAAATTTATTTGACATGCTTACGTATTAGCTCGCAGTGAATCCTTCGCGTCTAAGGCAGGGTACCGCTGGAGGGGTGGTTTATTTCAGGGAGGAATTACGATGGAGTTTGGATGACTATAGAGTTACAATCCAGAGAATTGGGAGAGACTTTTGCACGATCAAAAGTGCCAGCTGAGCAAGAGAAAAATACCTGGCGAAATAACTAGTGAACGCCGTCTGACGTGGCAAGTGCCTGCCACTCTTCCGACGTTGATCTTTTCCCCGAGATTTCGGTTGAGCACAGAAAACGAAAACATCCAAATGAAGATAAACTTATTCCATAGTGCAGACATTAGGGAGGTGCGGGCGTATAGTGCTCACGCCCAATACGCGCTCATACGGAACTGTTGGACATGACATAATCATCAAACCAGGCATCCGCTGCATCGAGTTCCAGAATAAGTGCTTCACTGTATTCCCGGCATGCCAAGAGACAACACATGTTACAATCGCGTCGGACACTCAGCTCACACATCATACTTATACACATTTCTGTGTGGCGCAAATGAACAAAGGCTAAAACGTTAGGACAACAACAATAACCGCAACACAACGGCATCGGAATGCCACTTCAACAACACATTGTTCTCAATGAAACTAGTGGACACCAAAAGGAGAACGTGTCTATGAAGAAGGCACAGATCGAAGCCAAAGGGGCCAAGAGTGAGCTAGGGAGGCTGCGGAGTCTGCCCTTCAGTTCCAGACGGATGAACCGCTGGAGTGAGCCTTGACATGCCAAGAATCCAAGCCGTTGCCGGATAGCGCGAGGGAGTGCACGAGAGTGGTCCAGAGACCAAATCCAAAGGGTACAGTGATTAAAGCCAGGAGAACACCACCCAATGATTATAAAACCGCGGAGAGGGGAACTGGAAAGGATCCAGCAAGGTGAGTGAAAACGAGGGGGCGTAGCCACCTTCGACTTGTAAGTGGCTCCACCCTCCCCGGGCATTCAGGAAAGCATGTGTTGTGCCTCGATAACAACGAACGGTGGCTGATTGGGGAGCATGGCTGAGTTGCGAGGTAGGACAAGATACGAGGCCGGAAAAGATGTCGGATTGATCGAGATTCTGAATCTGGAGGCCCAAAGAACGGAGGCAAGAACGACAGAAAAGGGGAGTTGAACGCCGGTAGCGAAGAAAATTGGATGGTAGCCCGCCACGCCGGCGCTTACCGCCGGCCCTCGGTATGAAGTGATCGATGTTCCAGCGTCCAGGTCAATTTATAGAGTCCTGTTGCAGCTCTTCTCTCGCAATAGATAAGGCATGACTTAATGTCATCGTCCGTCCCACTCCGAGTCATGCCACCGTGCAATTTGCCGCTGATATTGGATTAGGTGTCCGTATGCTGTCGACCAATGTATATGCTATGCGCCTTCCTCATCCTTCCATATGTTGGAATAACCATCAGGGATGGAGTAACCTCCCTGGCATAACGGGTGAGTAGTGTATGGATGCACGCTAGAGGTCCTGGGTTCGATACCAGGCTTGTCCATTTTATGTCATTTGTCCAGTCACCTGGTTTACCTCAGTTGAATTCATGACATAAGTCTATAGCGCTAGCAGTGTTGAATTTCTTCATGGTGGACAAGCCACGGTACATCAATTTGGAGGCTAACACCCCAAATTGAGGGCGAGTGTTGGAATAACCATCAGGGATGGAGTAACCTCCCTGGCATAACGGGCGAGTAGTGTATGGATGCACGCTAGAGGTCCTGGGTTCGATACCAGGCTTGTCCATTTTATGTCATTTGTCCAGTCACCTGGTTTACCTCAGTTGAATTCATGACATAAGTCTATAGCGCTAGCAGTGTTGAATTTCTTCACCATAATCAGACGGAAGGCTTCGATCCAAGCTCAGAGCAATAAGTGACCAGCCTCTCTTTAACGGGTCAGAGCAGGTGGTCGAAAGCAGCATTTGCATAGGCAGGATACCACCCTCTACAGATGAGGTTGCCCTTTCGCATCATCCTGTAGCAATTGAATGCTTTCTGTTTATGGTAAGTTCGTGGGGAAGTATTCGACCCTATAAGCGAGCGGCTTATGTAACAAAGCGACAGATAAAAGACCCCTAGCCAGTAGGAGAGCGATCTTGTAATTTACACCTCCCTCTTTAGTGTAAATCGAGTCTTTTGGGTCTAGTGATCTCTTAAGTTACATAAGTTCACAATCCCTAAGCTCATCTATCGGCCTTCGCCGATTCAAAGTCTCTCTCACAGGCCCTCATATAATACATACTTAAACGCATGGACCTCTGTTCGTGATCGCCATCCACGAACCACAACTCGTTTCTTGCCTGCCACTATGCTAGGGGGCAGTAGCATCAAAGTGTTTTCTGGTTGGTTAGCTCCAGACCGTTGATAAGCGCTTGGGTCTCACCTTGGAAACAAAATTGTTCAAGGCACCAGCCATCCTGAGATTGCAGAGCTTATCGCTCACAGGTGCGCGGGGCTTCACTTCTGTGGCTTTTCCCGCCTGATGGTTGACCCCATTACAATCGCCAGAATTGGTCTACCGCTGTCGAAAGCAGTGGTCACTCGCAATGGGGCCGGAGAAACTTCAGTCCGTCTCGGAGAGTCTGTTCGCGAGGCTGACGTATACATCGTTAACACTGGTTGTGGACCACCTGGACTCTCTGTGAACGTTTCCCTCATGGAGCTGTGCATCATGATTCATGCTTGCAAGATTTCGAGTGCTAAAAGGATCACTGCCGTTATTCCGCTTTTTCCCTATGCTCGTCAAGACAAAAAGGACAAAAGTCGTGCTCCAATAACGGCAAAGCTTGTTGCAAATATGTTGCAGAACAGCGGTTGCGACCACGTCATTGTATGCTATGCAATGCTTTTGGCTTTTCAGTGCGCTTTGACCATGTTCTGGTTTAGACTATGGACTTGCATGCATCGCAGATTCAGGGCTTTTTTGATGTCCCTGTCGACAAGTCTGTGTCATTTCCTCCCAATTCCCCTTCCTGCCGTAGAGCTGACGACCGTGATTGATAGTGTAAGCAATCGGTGTTTGAACATCATAGATCTCATTGTTGGCATAGTTATACGCCGAACCCTCCGTTCTCCACTATATCCGACAAAACTTCAATATCAAAGATGTCGTCATTGTCTCTCCAGATGCTGGAGGTGCAAAACGGTGCGTATATGCCTTACTGGGTTGCCGTCATTGGTTAAGCCCATGCGCGCTTCTGCTAGAGCCACTTCAATCGCCGATCGGCTCGGGGTAGATTTCGCCATCTTTCATAAGGAGCGGAAGAAGGCTAACGAAGTCTCGCGTATGGTGCTCGTCGGACAATGCGAGGGAAAGATTGCGATCCTTGTCGATGATATGGCGGATACATGTGGTACCATATGCCTCGCGGCACACTATCTCGTCGAGGGTAAAGCTTCACGAGTCATCGCTATTGTAACACATGGAATCCTGTCCGGTGACGCACTCAAGAAGATTGAGGCAACAAAGGGTCTCGAAAAACTGGTGGTGACAAACACCATACCACAATGTGATAACCAACGCGCTTGCAACAAAATTGAAGTCATCGACATCGCTTCGGTCTTGGGTGAGGTCATTCGACGTAGCCACTACGGCGAGAGCGTCTCCAGACTGTTTCATGAAGTCCCCTACTAGATCATTTCGCTTGCTTTTTTCCATTACATAGTACATGTATAATCACTGGCCTGGATTGGTGATCATGACGAGACAAGTATCGGACATTGTTCTATACCAAGACCATTGAACAACGTATTCTTAAATTTTGAATTTCCAATGGCTTTCAAATATACTGGCTCCAAAAGCTTCTTGCTCTCCCGTTGAACAGCGCTCTTCAGTCATTTCAGTCATTGTCTGAGGCACTCGAAGTCCCTGGGACTAGTCGGGTTTATCGCAACTCAGAGTCATCCTGTCAAATGAGTGATTCTGCGTATCATGGCTTGGCTAAGGCTCGATAAACGAAGCCAGTTCTGGGCCCTGTTACTCTTGGAACATCGTATGTACATGCTCTACATGCTCTGCTGGAGGTAAGTAAAGGGTGGTATTGTGAAAGGGGAAAGCTTGGACGGGGTAGACCTCACTTGTGGTCCATTCAACAAATTCAATATATCATTCCTTGGTGCGACGTTGCCGTGTGAATTCGGTGGTGGGATGCCAGGGATGGGGAAAGGCATCAAAGGTTTAGTTCCACTAATCATTCTATAGTTGTTGGGTACGGGGTCAAGGCTTGGCTGCAACGGAATGGCTGGTTCTCGAGGCTGCGCCAGAATCGGATAGATTGGGAAGCTGGTAATGTGGCGAGGGAGGGTAGCGCCCATGTGCAGCGGAGATGGGTGCAATTGCGGCACTCGTGGGGTAAATAGCTGGGAGGGTGAAATGGTGGGAGCTCGAGCAGGATTGACGACGAAGGGCGAATCCTCCATGCGGGGTTGGCTGGAAGCAGAAGGATGCGGAGAGGACGACTTTGGCAATAACTGTGTGCTGAGAGACTGCAATAACGCAATACGCTGTGCCTGACGATTTGAATGAGGGTCAGGAGACGCATTCGTAATCGATTTTGCCCCGCTGGACACTGAGTTGGTCACCGAAGATGCCAATGCTTTCCTGGCATTTGAAATTCGTCTCGCCTCCACCGCCGGCGGAGAAAAGTGCTCAAGCATCGAGGAGCCATTAGAACGAAGGGCCGAGGGTGAATGTTGTGATGTGGAGGCTGTCGAGGTCGAAGTCGGAGACATTAGTGGCTTTGTTCCTACAGTACCCGGAGTAGGAGGCGCGGCGGGTTGGGCGGGCAATTCATTCGCATCCTTTGTGGAGCCAAATGCATCAAACGGGGAGATGAAATCGAATTTGAGCTTTGGTTTGGCACTTGGCGGACGTGAACACTCATTTGGGCTATCATCAATCTCCGAATTTGGCGGCGTAGGTGAGGAAAACGAGCCTTTGACATGCTCTTCAAACAGCGGCCTTGACGAAGCGGGTTTTAAATAGTTTCTGGCAGCATGTACCATGGATGGGGTCGTCTGAGGTGTTGGAAGGGCACCTTGTGTAGATGATGCGGTGACAGGGTTCGGAGACGGAAAATTAGCAGGAGCAGTCATATTCAATGAACCAAAGAGACGGGACAGGTGACCACTTTCAGGATTGTGAAGTGTAGCAGAAACGATTGCGGGGTCATTGGGCAACGGGTGATAAGTAGGGGCATTCTTGTCTACGTAATAGGACTGGTCACTAAGTGCTTGGGATGGTGGATGTTTTGCCGCCTCGGCAGCTCTTAGTCGCTTAATAACCGACTTAAGAGGTCTATAAAATCCCGTATCAGTAACCAGCCGAGTGAGTACAGACGAATCAGAGTGACTCACCCAACGAAAGAGGAGATTGCATAGAATTTGAAGGATGTTGGACTCTTTGTATTCTTTTTCCATGCAGGTAAATCAGATAGATTGAACCATTGAATTTTCTGCGGTCACCAGTTAAGAAGGGATACCATGGCCGAAACTCAGGGACACATACACTGATCTCCTTTCGAGTTTTGGTCTCAAACACTGTGTCCTCGGGGACATTGGGAATCACAAACAAGGATGTGCGCTGGTCTTTTACGGTTACCCGAATGACAGCATCAAGGTTGATCTTGTCCGAGATATCGTAACCAGTTTCTTCCATTACTTCACGAGCAGCACACTCGTGTTCAGGTTCATCAAGATTGATCTTTCCCCGAGGAAAGCTCCAAGCCGCGCTGGACTTCCACCCTTTCACCAATACACACTAGTAAAGGAGATTGAATAAACATGGGGGAAGTTGATCTCTCGGCACCCATTTTACCTTCGTCCATGACGGATCTATCATGATGGCACCACACACAGGGACCGTAGTTTTATATGCCATGAAATCCTGAAAGGCTTGGTCATGAGCAGGACTCCAATGAACTAGCAAGGGACATGATTGAAAGAGCATCCCAGAGAAAGTCTTGAGGGGGAGAGAAGGGAGGCTAGGCTCTTCATCGCGGATGTAATCCTCGTAGTACCAATGGCTGTAGATATGGATCAGTGAGAAATTGGGATTGTGACTATGGTGAAGCAAAGATATTCACGCCTGCTCGACCTGAAAGCATATCCGCTCAACTGACACGAGCTCCTCTTCTGGAAGATTGAGGATAAACCGACTGAAATTAGCACGGGAGACAGATTGAGCGTAAGATAAGTATTAGGAGAGAGAAAAAAAGCTAGACGCGCCTCGAAAGGTCTTCCAGAACGTCTTCGATGGAGATATTTTTGAAGGAGAAGTGCTTAGCTCGATCAGCATCTAACGTGGATGTTGATGCCTCGATTGATGAAGGCTCAAAAGGCGCCATAGCGCACAACGACAGCTTCAACAGATGGGAGAAAAGGGAAAAGAAAGAAACGGAGACTTAAGTTCGAGAGCTTGAGGAACGCGAAACGATGGTGGGTTTGAGATGTTGGTGGAAGCTTACGTAATCCGGCGTCTCTTTTAGTTCCCACGCATCGTGCTGGACAAAGAATCCTTTGCTCCTTCTCCACTCCTTCTCCAGGACGGTGTCGTGGTGTTCTGCATGAATGCTGACTTGTGGAACCTTCGCTGATGTCTCTATTGCCGAGCCGTGAATGACTCGAGATTGATGGTACTGCGCGCGCACTCTAAGCTACTTGCTCGTCTTGAGCCGCTATCGGATTCCATTCCAACCCCCCGAGATCAATACCTTCCATCTCATTTTGCGGTGTAATACACCAACCACCGATTCTTGGAACCCTCTTAACCCCCCCAGTGACGATCCATGGTGTACTGCTTTCTCCTGAGGGCGGGAATGCTGAGCTTCCTGAAAATAGAACGTCGATAATAATATCCCCATCGCCACAATCCAAAGCGCCTCGAAAAGGCCCGGTATCCGCATCCATCGGATTTTCTCCAGTGATATCTTGGGGACGGAGTTGTTCCCCCACCCAAGAACATCCTGCACCCAAGCCATGGCGAACTTCCCTGGCCCAGTTGAAGACGCGTCCGATTTGATATTTCACAAACGCGTCACGGCGTCTTGTCGCTGTTTCAGCCAATGCATGTTCCAGAGCTCTAAATCGCGCAAGGGATGCCTCAGCTTGGTCTGGGAGCCAGGTATCCTGTGCATCATAGTTAATTAGAAACCCTTCTCTGTACGCTTCCCGTGCACTTTGGAAGTGGGGTAGCGGTCCTGTGGGGAACGGATTTGGGCCACATTTCATGGAGATGTAGCGTAGAGCCCAGTGACCCTGCAAGAACGTGGCAAATGACTAATAATCGTTCTTGTAGTCAGCAAGCATAGTCGTACTGCGGCATTGTGGGCTACTGACATCGCGTCGCTTATGCCTAGTTGGTGCTGTTTGACTATGCCCTCCCGCAGCACTGTGAGAAAGGGACTCATTCTGACTCATTGCAGCGGGCAGGAGCGGAGCTCAGGGAGTGTGTGGGGCCACGAGATTGTACAACGCAGCCGCATTGCTTATAAATCCAAAAAGTAAACCTTACAACTCATCTTGCGAGAATTAACTGATTGCGGGCCTTGCAATATATAGCCAGAGTGAATCCAACACGAAAATATATGCACACGCGAAAGAAATCCAAATTGACAGGAAGACGTCACGACAACGCACGGCACGAAGCCCGCCGGTTGTACCAAGCCACCCGAAGCACGGAAGAAATCATCCCATCCTTCCGCTCTCACAACAACCGGATGCGGTCCGGTGCCTCCTCATTTTCGATTCAAGTCACCAACAGACAGATAATGAGAGGGCGTACTACGGAGGCAAAGGAAAACAACGTATAAGACATGGAGATCGGTTTCAATGGGTAGATAGGCCGAGTCACCATAAGCTTGCGGCGCAATCGCTAGTCCTCAAGCCATGCCAAGAGAATTTTTGATCCGGTGCCAAGAAAAACCAGAATGACTGAGACTGATCGAAGGGAAAGTCAGGTTAGCGAGGTTTGTTACTTAGCGTGTAAGTGAACAATCCTAATGAGAAACTGGAGGGGGGGAGGGTGAATTGGAGCCAGTCCGTGAAGTACGGTGGATAACATGTGTAAAGTTATGGATTAGCTAGGGTTTATACTTCAGCGTATGAGTAAGCGGCAGCGGACGTTTGATTAAACAGTCCTGATGGGGAACTAGAAGGGGTTGAAGGAGCAGGGTGGGTGTCGTGCAAGGTTACGTTGTCGTTGAGCGGTGGCGGATGATATTGTACCCATCTACATCAGGTGTACAGTAATTTAGAACGTGTTTGTTGCAGGTTCAAACATTCATAGTGCAGATACGAAGATATTTAAGGCTGCCGCTGCGCCTGTAGGCAGGATCCCAGCCTCTACTAAAGTAGACCGCGAGGTCATTCCCGTCATTCCGGTACAATAAACAATACAGGGGGGGGTGGTTGTGGAATTGACTAATGTTTGATGGTGAATAGTCGAGTGTTAGGGACGGTGGGGACATGCAGTAGTTCCAATCACAACAACATTCAGCCAACTACACGATGTGTACATAGTTCAGGTCAAACTAAAGAGCGGCGTCGAACCCCATTAATTCGGTTATAAATGCCTAAAAAGACGGACAGAGACGGTACGCCAGTGAAACCATTAACAAGGTCGGCGCGTAGGGCCTATACATCACAACCCGAGGTATCCTGGCTCCTGGAAGTTGGACAAGTTGGACACCATTATGCACTATAATTATATTTACCTAGCATGTTACGCCAGGCTACAGGTTCCAACAAAGAACACTTCGACAAGAGAAGGGGGAGCGGCTTTCTCTCCTCAGTTCTGTTGTACGCAAACTGAGGAAAGATCTAAAACCAAACAATTCTGCTTATAAGCAGGTGAAGCACAAGAATACCAAGAATAGACGTTTAATGCCGCAAGCTCAACAACATGAGTTGTCACAGCATATGTTAAAGCCAAGATTTCGAACTTCATATCATATTGGAGCCTCACCACTAGATGACGCGATTCGAAAGCTGTATTCTGCTAAGCCATTTGCAATGTTCTTCATGAAGTGCCGCAATCACGTTGTCATCTTCCGTATTCCCACCTACAGGTCCATAGAAGGCCTCGGTGCCTTCATCATCCTGATAGCCCTTAATCCCTGACGAGCGCACATCAAGTAGACCCCTTGCATGAGCATCCTTGAGTCGCCGACATGGCACGACTTTGTACGTCCTCATGTATTGTCCTGACTTGAAACCTGGACAAGCGCGGTAGCCATGGGGATCCACCGTGACGAGGAGTTCAGCCAGAGGACCGAATGTCCGTTGCGAGGCTATGTATTTGTAGAGCTCGATGCTGGTGTAATGGCTAAGGTAAGGCTTGACACATTTGTATGCACTGGGCCCAACCTCGAGGCATAGAGTAACCGTTTTTATTCGAGGAAATTGAGCTACCTTGTCTAAGATCTCGTGTGGCTGAATTTAAATTTGACCATTTCAATCGTTCACAACCGGAGAATGAATGTTTCTCGCACATACCCAATCTCCATCGCGATTGATGTCAATTAGGAGCTCTTCCAGGTGTGGACAGCCCGCACAAATTTCATCGAGCTGCTCTGGGGAAAGAACTGATCGCGACCACACATTTCCGCGGTTGTAGAGCCTGAGCCTTTTGAGCGAGCGGCCAAACCGGGCAAAGATAGAGACAGGGATATCTCCAGTAAGTTCCTCAAGGTCGAGCTCCTCCAGGGCAGAAGGAACCTCGCGAAGGAATTCAGCAATGCGGCGTTTGACTCCCAAATGGTCTTTACTCAAAGGGGGAGCTCGACCCATCAGCTTGATGGAACGAAGGGAGTGCATTTGATCAACCACGTCAAGGAGGATGTCAGAAAAGTATGTGAACTGTAATTCTATGAGGCTATTCCATGGGATACCATGGCGCCACGATTCATCGGTGTGAATACTGTTGACAGAAAGTCTCCGAAGGGAGGAGAGGATTTGTCCTTCCCCAAGTGTGCGTTTGCGCACCATGCCAGGTACAATATGACAGCTAATTGTTTTGGCATTAGAAAAGGAATGACAAGAAGATAACACAACGAACCGAAGGTCCGTCAGATATATCATGCGGGGAAGCAGATCCAGGGTCTTTTCTAGAATTCGCCTCTCCACCTCCTCAGCGTCCTCCCCAATCACGTAGGAAGGATCAATGATTACTTTTCGGACGTATGAGAGGAGTGATGGGTTGTCTTCTAATCGCTTGAGGAGGTGGAGTTCAAACTCCGGCGCTCCCCTGCCCCATTAGCAGCCACATATTTGAATGACCCGAAACCGGATAACGGTAGTGAACCTATAAAAGTCACGGCTGACAAGACTAACAGACAGAAGAGAATTGAATGGCGATGCGGCGAGCTGCTCTATAATGTGACAGTAGATGTCTCCGTTTAGCGCAACCGCACTGGGGCCAGTGCGCTTAACCGAGTTGTGCATCGCAGCAGAGGTAGTGGAAGCTTGGCGATAGCCTTGGGTCTGGACTTTGAGCTTGGGAGGCTGAAAGTACAACGCTATCAATCGTGGCGTCCAGTCTTTATCTGCGAAACGGCAGTTCCCGAAGGTTCTGGTGGTCTGTCGCGGCGTTTATCACAATCCTCAGGCTCGTGTTGCCTTCCTTGCTCCCCTTTTCTATTTTACAAGGCGAGTGAACGGTTCAAAAAAACGGAGATAAGGATTGGAGGTGTATGACGGAGTTTGGTGCAGAAGTGCTGTGTGCGACCAGCGACGGCCCCAATAACCGCCGAAGCCTCTAAGTAATCCGGGTAAAATATACTGAGGTGGAGACAGGCGGGTAACACAGACAATAGCAACACACAAGAAGAAGTGATAAAAGAGCCAAACAGGAGACAAACCTGCTAGCGTTATCAGATACGGGTTATCATGGGTTATGTAAGCCTTCGATTTCCATTGAGGGACTCCGTTCACGGCTATAAAGGATTGTTTCGAACCTAGCTTTCAACTTAACCAGGAATGGTTGGCCTTTTTTGATTATTTATGTATTGTCCCTTCCCATTACGAATCAGGCTTTGTTTTCTTGATGACTTGGGCCTGCGGATCGATTTTGCTTCTGTCTCAATATACTATTGGTGTCGCCACGAGAGCCCCGCCTTATGATTCTTCGTTTAGAAGCATGCTGGGTAAGGGACGTGCGCACATATCTTATTGTCCACCTCTTTTCCCGGCTTAAACTGACCATGAGGGCGGTATGAGAGCAAGTATTCACAGATACGCAAAAGCGCCATTCGATCATGATCTTATGAAGATCTAGCGTGTTGGGCGCTTGTTTGTTGGCTCCCACGGGAACTGATCTCCCCTGGACGACATGTGTACCACGTCAGGGTCCCTATCGTGTGAGGCTGTGAAATATACTGATTTCCTGGTACTTAATCGGGTGGCAACCATGGCGTCAATCATCCCTCCCTTTACACTCCCCCAGGATGTCGGAGCAGAAATCGAACGTCCTCAAACGCCTTGGAGGCAACATGCTTCCCGTCAAAGCCGTAACTGCCACAATCCGAGGGACGGTGGCTACCGTACAACTTCCGATGAATTTCTCCCATTGGGGTGTGCTAAGTCCTGTGCTCGCCGTCCTTCGCCGCCTGACAATATTTTTTTGGGATGGAAAGGGGACAATAATCCTATCGAACCGTTGAATGTTAGAGGGCGAGACGTCCTATTGCTTGGTCTTGCCGCTGGTATCTCAGATGTGCTCCCAGTCGATGGGGTAATCGGGGGCATTGCACATGTAAATCCAGCTGGCTTCCTGGCAACTCACGGAGAACACATGATTGTGCATCTTGGTTTGGATGCACTCGAGGCTCACGCCAGCGAGGCACATGGAAAAGCCCGTCAGAATGCATCCATTGAATGGCATGTTACCAGCCCCAGCACTGATGGTTTCTGGGGACTCGAGACGACGGCAGTCCATAAGTTCCAACTCAGCGTGCGTCACAAGTTGTTCGAAAAACATGCGACGCTGGAGCCTGTTCGTATGCCATCTTTCCGCAAGTTGACCCTGGCTGAGGGCATTGTTTCCACGGGTCCGGGCTGGTTTTGCCCTTACGTGTATTCCACTCATCGTCAACCTTTGGTGTCACGAATCAATGAGGTATAGTTCACTGCACCCCCTTCGGAGAGAACACATCTCACGTTTCTTCTCGCCAGATTTCCTTCGTTCAACTCCGCGAGCCAATCATCGCTGCTGATCAGATCCTAGCCTTTCAACTCGTCGGCTTTTTCAAATCCATATTCGGACGCCTCATCTCCTTTGTAAATCCGTCGCCCACATTTCAACCTCCCAAGACCCCTTCAATGTCTCGCGCGCTCGTGTGCATCGCTGGAATATCACCTTTCAGAGGCCTTTGGTCCCAAGGTCGAAGGCCCGATCAGTGCAAGATGTGGTTCCACATCATGAATGGAGTGCCTGGAATAGCAATTCCAGTGGTCGACTCATCTCCGCTCTTGGCTTGGCACGGGAAGGATCTTGGCGAACTAGAGATGCAAGACCTTGCTGAGGTCGTGGAGTACGTTTCGACGCTCTTGGACCCAGCATACCAGATCGACCTTTCTACGTTGAACGCGGCGCTGGAGTGTATGATCGGGAATGCAATTGCGGGGAGGAAAGCAGCGAAGAAACTTGATAGCGATTTCGACCTTGATCGCACTGGAATCCTAGTGATCAAATATGGTACAGCCGCAGTGACTGTTTGATAGATATTTCAAGCTCATCCTCGTATCACTCGGCTTTCCGGGAATTGTTTCTCTCACATTTATGTCCATTTTCCTCGAGATTTCGGTTGAGCACAGAAAATAAATACTTATTCCATAGTGCAGACATTAGGGAGGTGCGGACGTATAGCGCACACGCCGAATACGCGTTCATACGGAAATGTTGGACATGGCATAATCATCAAACAAGGCATTCGCTGGGTCGAGTTCCAGAATAAGTGCTTTGCTGTCTTCTCGGCATGCCACGAAGACAGAAAAGACAACACACTGTTCTCAATGAAACTAACCAGTGGACACCAAAGGGAGAATGTGTCCATGAAGAAGGCGGGGATCGGAGCCAAAGGCACCAAAGAGGACCGAGAGTGACCTAGGGAGGCTGCGGAGGCTGCCCTCCAGTTCTAGATGGATGAATCATCGGAACCGCTGGAGTGAGCCTTGACATGCAGAAAATCCACGGGGACAAGCCGTTGCCGGATAGCGCGAGGGAGTGCACAGGAAATAGGTCCAGAGAGACAAAATCCAAAGGGGACGATGATCGAAGCCAGGAGACCACCACCCAATGGTTATAAAACTGTGGAAAGGATCTGGCAAGGTGAGTGAAAAAGAGGGGGCGTGGCTACCTTCAACTGGTAAGTGGCTCCACCCTCCCCAGGCATTCAGGAAAGCGTGTGTTGTACCTCGATAACAATGAAAAAATGGTTGAGTGGGGAGAAGCACATGGCCGAGTTGCAAGTAGGACAAGACACGAGGCCGGAAAAGATGTCGGATTGATCGAGATTCTGAATCTGGAGGCCCAAAGAACGGAGGCTGTCATGAGCAAGAACAACAGAAAAGGGGAGTTGAACGCTGGTAGCGAAGAAAATTAGATGACAGCCCACAGGGCTCAAAAGGCGAAACACAAGGTAAAATGGACTGGTAATCTGCTAAAGAGATGAGAAACATTTTATGGAAGATGGGAGTGTGATGATTTCAATCACGGAGAAGGCTTGCTAACGCCAAACAAGAATTGAAATCGGAAACAGAGGCAGCCCCAAACCTAATAGGTCAGCCGGAAGGCTATAAGGAACTGAGCGTGCAGAATGGAGGAAATTCGAGATTGCAAGGCGATGGAGACACACGGGCACGAATCTTGGGGATCAACAATTGATTAACAATTTTGCGGAGGACAGTGATCGGGGAATGCTGAAGGACGAGGACACAAAGAAGTGAATTGAGCAATTAGGATTGTTACACAGACGCGCGCGTCCACGGAGCGAAAACGACTGGGTACGAGTCTGGTTGTTACATAACCGCAAGACGCTTGAGAGTGATGCGCAGTACATGCAGTGGGGTCATGGACCTTGTAGAGTTTGTCGGCGAGGCGCGAAAAGGTTGCAGAGAACGGTTTTTACATAATGATAGCTGGAAAACCATAAGCTCTCCCTCTCCGATAGGCTTTGACGCACAGCCGACGGTCACTTCCTTGTTTCCTTGTATCCAGAAACCGTGTATAGAATCTGATTGCGCCTCCGTGATAAGACCGTGATGAGACGCCGGCAGGATTCCAGCCTCTGCGTGGGGGCGTGCCACGCTTACCGCCGGCCCCGGTGTGAAGCGATCTGCGAGCTGTCATGATGCCCCAGAAACGTCCAGGTCAATACTCGTCCTGTTGCAGCTCTTCTCTCGCAATAGATAAGCCAGGACTTAATGTCATCGTCCGTCCCACTCCGAGTCATGTCACCGCGCGGACCTCATAGAATTCACCGCTGATGTTGGATTAAATATGCTATGCTCTTCCTCATCCTTCCATAATCAGACGGAAGGCCTCGTGGCTCTGAGTGTATAGGGGCTCACACGTGCGTTGCGTGCCCAAAGCTTCCTCTCCTCCATCACCTTCGACCATGTCGGTGCGGCAAAATGCTCAAGCTCTCAGGCAAAAGGTCGATGATCTCCTCGTGGAGGGGGTTGACATCGCGGTCCCAATTCTCAAGGTCGTCAATGCTACGGCTGATTGGTGTCCCCCTCTAAAGATGGCGACTGGTGGTGCACTCTCCATCCTCGACGAGGTTAAGGTTGGCAAATTTTTTGCCTGGCCATGAACGAAAGTTCACGCTAGTTTGCACCATGTAGAAGTTCAAGGACAACAAGAAGGAATGGACGGATTTTGGGAAATACGTGGTCGACACCGTAGCCGAGGTGGTTTCAGCCATGAAATCTTATGATGCGTCAGCGGAAGAGGCAAAACCGTGGGTGGAGAGTGTCACAGAGCTTGATAGGTAAGTTGTTTTTGTTTTTGGTGGTCTTGGGATCGTTGCTCACATGAAGTCTCAGGGCGCTACAGAAGATTAAGTCCGAAATCGAACGAAGACTGAAAAAAGTAGAGAAACGACCGGCTGTCCTAAACGTAGTGTCCTACCTCAGAGACCCAGGAAAAATTGATGGCCTAAAGAAAGACTTTGACAAAGCATTGGCGTCGTTTCAGGTAGCTTTCCTTATGTATACGTTCCATAACCATCCTCATTTCCGGTCGATGCAGCTTAAGGCGAATCTAATAGGTGGTGCAAAATTAGCGGCCATAGAACGTCGTCTACAGGATGACAAAATCCTTGATAGTCTCCGGTACCCTCATATCGCCCAGGATGATTTCACTCAGGCGTGCCTAGAAGGAACTAGGATTGATCTCACGGAGCGTATCATGTCATGGTGCCGCAACACTGGAGAGTGTGAGAACCGGCTAATGCTATTGACTGCTGTGGCTGGTGCCGGAAAGACTTCGATTGCACTCACGATAGCAGAACGATGTGCTAGTGAAGGGGACGTTGCACTGTTACTGCACTTCTTCTTTAAAGCGGGAGAACGGTCGCGGCCTGATTTTCTGTTCAGCAGCATAGCTCGAACTCTGGCAGACCATGACCCGGTTTACCGCACTTTCATCGTCTCTGCTCTTCGAAACGACCCTTCCCTCTCAACGGCCCTACTTGCAAAGCAATTCGAAAATTTTGTGGCCTTGCCTCTCCTTCATAAACCTCCACCTCCCGACCGTCCCATGGTGGTTATCATCGATGCTTTAGATGAGTGTGACAAAGAAGTGTTCGTGCCCTTTGCCGATATCCTTCGGAAGGAAGTGCCCAGGCTACCATCTTCCATAAAATTCTTTATCACATCAAGACATACTGATCTTGTTAAACGCTCCCTCTCACCCCAATTCCCTATTGGTCGTCTCGCTATTGACCTTTCGGATGACACAAATGTGCAGGACTGTGCTACATATATACGTTTCGAGCTGCAAAAGCTGAAGGATTGGCATCCTGATTTACGGCGTAATCTTCAGGATGAGGATAAAACAGTTCGGGAAATCCTGGAACGCGCAAGTGGCTTGTTTGTTTGGATCAGCACGATCTTTCGCTACATGAAGACAGCCAACAAGGATCCCATGAGGACGTTAGAGGGCTTGCTCAACACTGGTGCCGAACGATCAAAGGTCCCTGCCGAGGGAATGATGGACCGCTTATATACAAGCATTCTGAAGAAGTGCGATTGGGAAGATGAAGATTTTGCCCATGACTATCCAATCGTGATGGGTGCAATTTTTGTCGCACAGCAGCCTCTGTCCATCACAGCCTGGGATGCAATTTTGTCACCTTTCCTCAAGTTTTCTGTTCGATATTCATTGGCTGAACTTGCTCCTCTACTCTCAGGAGTTGAGGATTCTCACCTTCCGGTTCGCATCTTACACCAATCTTTCCGCGACTTTATCGTCGATCGGATTGATCCCCCATCAATCAGCCCTCGTTGCATCCTAGTAGATGTAGGGTCGGAGAATGCCAGAGTTGCCCTGCGATGCACTGAGATCCTGAACCAGGATCTTCGCTTTGTAAAGGGCTTAGGAATGATTGAAAACTTGTCTGAAAAAGATGAGCTGCCACTCATTCCCTCGGAGTCATCTGAGCACTCTCATTATGCATGTCGCTATATTGTCCATCACCTCAGTGGAGTCCAGGAACCATCACAGGAGCTCGATGAGTTAGTTGGCGTGTTTCTCAGTCAGCAAGCAACTCGCTGGGTGGAGGCCTGCGTGAGAATGGAGGGCTACATTAGTATCTCGTTACTCCCTGAGTGGGCTAAGGTGTGGTTTATCAATGTTGCTAATGAGACTATCTAAGATCTTTCAGTTGGCTGTTGGCCACAGGTCAAAAGGTGCTGTCCACACACTGGCCAGTGTGCTTGTCCAACTTGCATCGAATTTGAACTTTTTTGCAAGATTCCAGGAGGCATATGAGGCAGCGAACGATTCCGTTGTACTCTGCCGTTACCTTCTTTCGGTGGACTTGGGGTCCTCCCTGGATTTAGCCAGATCACTTGGGGCTCTTTATTCAGCCCTTTCCAAACTTGGACGGCACTCAGAGGCACTTCCATTCATTGAAGAAAGTGTCAACCTCTGCCGCCAGCTAGTTGCTGTTCACCCAGGCTCATACACCCCGGATTTGGCCCTGTCACTCAACAATCTATTTAATGCTCTTTCCAATCTTGGACGGCACTCGGAGGCGCTCCCATTCATTGAAGAAAGTGTCAGCCTCCGGCGCCAGCTGGTTTCTGTTCACCCAGAATCATACACCCCGGATTTGGCCCTGTCACTCAACAATCTATTTACTGCTCTTTCCAATCTCGGACGGCACTCGGAGGCCCTCCCATTCATTGAAGAAAGTGTCAGCCTCCAGCGCCAGCTGGTTTCTGTTCACCCAGGATCATACACCCCGGATTTGGCCTTGTCACTCAACAATCTATATGATGCTCTTTCCAAACTCGGACGGCACTCGGAGGCGCTCTCATTCATTGAAGAAAGCGTCAGCCTCTACCACCAGCTGGCTGCTGTTCACCCGGGATCATACACCCCAGATTTGGCTGGGTCACTCGACAATCTATATTTTGCTCTTTCCCAACTCGGACAGCACTCGGAGGCGCTCCCATTCATTGAAGAAAGTGTCAGCCTCTACCACCAGCTGGTTTCTGTTCACCCAGGATCATACACCCCAGATTTGGCACGGTCACTCAACAATCTATGTGATGCTCTTTCCAAACTCGGACGGCACTCGGAGGCCCTCCCATTCATTGAAGAAAGCGTCAGCCTCTACCGCCAGCTGGTTTCTGTTCACCCAGGATCATGCACCCCAGATTTGGCTGGGTCACTCAACAATCTATATGATGCTCTTTCCAAACTCGGACGGCACTCGGAGGCGCTCCCATTCATTGAAGAAAGCGTCAGCCTCTACCGCCAGCTGGTTTCTGTTCACCCAGGATCATACACCCCAGATTTGGCTGGGTCACTCAACAATCTATATTTTGCTCTTTCCCAACTCGGACAGCACTCGGATCCGCTCTCATTCATTGAAGAAAGTGTCAGCCTCTGGCGCCAGCTGGTTGCTGTTCACCCAGGATCATACACCCCATATTTGGCCCTGTCACTCAACAATCTATATGATGCTCGTTCCAATCTCGGACAGCACTCGGAGGCGCTCCCATTTATCGAAGAAAGCGTCAGCCTCTACCGCCAGCTGGTTGCTGTTCACCCAGGATCATATACCCCAGATTTGGCCCGGTCACTCAACAATCTATGTTTTGCTCTTTCCCAACTCGGACAGCACTCGGAGGCGCTCCCATTCATTGAAGAAAGTGTCAGCCTCTACCGCCAGCTGGTTGCTGTTCACCCAGGATCATACACCCCAGATTTGGCACGGTCACTCAACAATCTATATGATGCTCTTTCCAAACTCGGACGGCACTCGGAGGCCCTCCCATCCATTGAGGAAAGCGTCAGCCTCTGCCGCCAGCTGGTTTCTGTTCACCCAGGATCATACACCCCAGATTTGGCTGGGTCACTCAACAATCTATATGATGCTCTTTCCAAACTCGGACGGCACTCGGAGGCGCTCCCATTTATCGAAGAAAGCGTCAGCCTCTACCGCCAGCTGGTTTCTGTTCACCCAGGATCATATACCCCAGATTTGGCCCGGTCACTCAACAATCTATATTTTGCTCTTTCCCAACTCGGACAGCACTCGGAGGCGCTCCCATTCATTGAAGAAAGTGTCAGCCTCTACCGCCAGCTGGTTGCTGTTCACCCAGGATCATACACCCCATATTTGGCCCTGTCACTCAACAATCTATATGATGCCCGTTCCAATCTCGGACGACACTCGGAGGCGCTCCCATTTATCGAAGAAAGCGTCAGCCTCTACCGCCAGCTGGTTGCTGTTCACCCAGGATCATACACCCCAGATTTGGCCCTGTCACTCAACAATCTATATGATGCTCTTTCCAATCTCGGACGGCACCCGGAGGCGCTCCCATTTATCGAAGAAAGCGTCAGCCTCTACCGCCAGCTGGTCGCTGTTCACCCAGGATCATACACCCCATATTTGGCCCGGTCACTCAACAATCTGTATTTTGCTCTTTCCCAACTCGGACAGCACTCGGAGGCGCTCCCATTCATCGAAGAAAGCGTGAAACTCCGGCGCCAGCTGGTTGAAATCAACCCAGGAGCATACACCCCACAATTGGCCAGTTCACTCAAAAACCTTCGCAACGCTCTTTCCAATCTTGGACGTCATTCCGAGGCACAAATGGTCCACAGTTGAGCCACCCAAGTCCCGTGGTTCATCCTGTCATTGCGTTTCTTTGCTACCTACTCATGGAGAACGCTGACAAATCCAATCTCAATTGTTTTTTATTGGACACTATGAATAAGTAGTTACAGCCGCTACACCCACAACAGATCGCAGTTGCAACTTATAATCTCAATGGTTAAATATGAAGGATACTCATTTCTTTATCTGGCACATTTTCCTTCCCATCGCCCATCACCGATATACTGGTCCATGTTTCTGCATACCATGGTAAGCGACGACGTCGAAGCTTGATGGGTGATGAATGTTGATGCAACCAAAAGACCCAATCGACAGGTCCACATTGTCCGGTGTATCATGAGGGGGGTGTGGAAGTGGAGAACTAGTGAAGCTAGCTAGTTCAACTCTTCGGTCCCAATACGTAACAAGCTTCGATTCGAGGCTATTATCTTGACAAACAATACATATTCCTTTCGAACGTTCGAAGGGAGCTGAAAGTCCGAAGTGTGTGAGACTGATTGGTTGTGACGCCATCAGGAGTGGCGGGCTTGACTGCGTCAGACTCGACTCGGCGCATTCCTGTGTCTTGGCTTCAGCCTCTGCTTCGGAGACACCGGTCTCATTCCACCCACCTGTTGCCCCCAACCCTCGCATTCTTGGGGGGGCGCCGCTTTCCTCGTGCCCGGTCATATCGTTGAAGCATTTCTGTGCCGCCCTCCGTAGTTGTCTGGTTTTCCCTTGTCATTACCTTTGCGCACGCCATCATCCCGAAGTCTAGTTCCAATTCATTCAGATGATTATGAAGACAAGGTTTGCTTTTTGTGCGGGTACTTTCAAGGACATTCGGTATGTTTCTTTATTTCTTTTACACTTTCTCCCGTCATTGCATGTAATGATCGTCCTCCTTCATACCAGTATGTTCCACGTGGGCAGTTGGCGCTCCGAACACGTAGAATCTATATTTTGCCAGAGCAGGGATCGAAAATGGCACTTTTCGGAATCGAATGGGGGGGAAGTCTCTTGCATTGGTGCAGAGGTCGTGAGTTCCTGAGGTTGAAGCTCGGGCGATGTCGGTGGGGGCGGAGTGAATGATGGGGCGAAGTGGGTAGTAATGGATCAGGGGAGCCGTGGGAGGCCTCCTTTCTGGAGTAAATAGGTAAGGGCGTATACGTGGGATGGTAATGTTCAATTTTTTGTGGGTGAATAGGGTTAGGTTGGGTTACTAATTCTCCGTTCTGCAGGTTATCCTTTTCTGGGAGACTCACTGGTGATGATGACTTTTCTAGCCTGACGGAGGTGAACAATGCGAAGACCGAGTGCATTTTTCATTCGTCCATTCCTTCTCAGTCACAAACGACAGCGACTTTAACAACCATGTAGATTGATGCTTGCGCTACTCACATATATATAAGGGCGGGACGTGCAGCTGGCTGCAGCGAGTCAACAATACAATGCCGAATTATGGGATCGAGGATGTAATCTTGAGAAAGGCACTCATTACGGATCAGGCCAGGAGCGGAGCTCAGGGAGTGTGTGTGGCCACAATTGTATTCCTTTTTGGTTTTTCTTGGCACCGGATCAAAAATTCTCTTGGCGTGGTTTGAAATCGCGCCGCAAGCGCAAGCTTATGGTGACTCTACCCTTGGAAATCGATCTCCATGTCTTATACACTTTCCCCGATTGTTTTCCTTTGCCTCTGTAGTACACCCTCATTATCTGTCCGTTAGTGACTTGAATCGAAACTGAGGAGGCACCCAGTTGTTGTGAGAGCGGAAGGATGGGCTGGTTTCTTCTGTTGGAATATCAACGCTCATCGACAACAGCCGAGCTGCAGCGTGGATTGGGGAGTCTTTATTTTAACTTAATATCGTCGTGACTAACAACGACTATACCTTTTGTTTCAGAGTCGCGATACCACGCGCTCCCAATTTTCTTTGTCTTATATCGCCAGTTGTCACTGGCAATCGCTTTAAGCGATATTGGCTCCAGTCGTATAAGTTACGCTGGACGCCGTAATTTTTCTCCCTCCCTCAGTTCTCCATTACGAGACTGAGGTGATACCATTTCTTTCCTATCTGTGTTTGCGCATAACTCATTGTATTTTCATGTTATAGTTACGCGCGATAGGTAAAAATATCTTAATACTAGTTCTCCATTACGCGACTGAGTTACGCGCGATAGCTCCTATTTCATTATCTTCCTTGCTGCTCCCTGATCCGAGCAGCTCGTGTGGTACAACCGGTGGCTTTGTGCCGTGCGTCGTCGTGACGGGCGCCGTCCTCCTGGGCTATCGGCCATTTATCAATTCGGGTTTCTTTCGAGCGGTGCGTATATTTTCGTGTTTGGATTCACTCTGGCTATTGCAAGGCCCGAAATCAGCTCTACGGATCCTCACAGGTCGAGTTGTAAGGTTTGCTCTTTGGGGGCTTATCAACAATGCGGCTGCTACGCTTCAAAAATCATGACGTAGTAATCGATCTAGAACGTGTTTGTTGCAGGTTTAATCATTCATCATGCGCCTCTTCAGATACGAAGATATTTAAGGCTGCCGCCACGCCAGTAGGCAGGATTCCAGAGTAGACCGCGAGGTCATTCCGTCCAGACAAGAAACAATACAGAGGGGGATGGTTGTTGAATTGACTATACGATGTGTAGCTATACAGCTCAGGTCAGCCGAATTCAACCCCGTTAATTCAGGGCCTATACATCACAACCTGAGGCATCCTGGGTCCTACAAGTTGGACAAGTTGGACACCATGAACTATATTTACCTAGCATGTTACGCTAGGTTACAGGAGCTAACGAACAACACTTTGACAAGAGAAGGGGGAGTGACTTTCTCACCTCAGTTCTGTTGCACGCAAACTCAGGAAATATGTAAAACCAAACAATTCTGCTTGTTAGCAAGCGAAGCACAAGCTTGGTAACAAGAATACCAGCAAGCTCAACAACATGAGTCGTCACGGCGTACGTATGTTAAAGCCAATATTTCGAATTTTTACATCATATTGGAGCCTCACCACTAGATGACACGATTCGAACGCCACATTGCACTAAGCCGTTCGCAACGATCTTCATGAAGTGCCGCAATCACGTTGTCATCTTCCGTATTCCCACCTACAGGTCCATAGAAGGCCTCGGTGCCTTTATCATCGTGACAGCCCTCAATCCCTGACGAGCGCACATCAAGTAGACCCCTTGCATGAGCATCCTTGAGTCGCCGACATGGCACGACTTTGTACGTCCTCATGTATTGTCCTGGCTTGAAGGGGAAGAAACCTGGATAAGCGCGGTAGCCATGGGGATCCACCGTGACGAGGAGTTCAGCCAGAGGACCGAATGTCCGTTGCGAGGCTATGTATTTGTAGAGCTGGATGCTGGTGTAATGGCTAAGGTAAGGCTTGACACATTTGTATGCACTGGGCCCAACCTCGAGGCATAGAGCAACCGTTTTTATTCGAGGAAATTGAGCTACCTTGTCTAAGATCTCGTGTGGCTGAATTTTAAATTTGACCATTTCAATCGTTCAACAACCGAAGAATGAATGTTCCTCGTACATACCCAATCACCATCGCGATTGATGTCAATCAGGAGCTCTTCCAGGTGTGGACAGCCCGTACAAATCTCATCGAGCTGCTCTGGGGAAAGAACTGATCGCGAGCCCACCTTCCCATCATTTCCGCGGTTGTAGAGCCTGAGCCTTTTGAGCGAGCGGCCAAACCGGGCAAAGATAGAGACAGGGATATCTCCAGTAAGTTCCTCAAGGTCGAGCTCTTCCAGGGCAGAAGGGACCTCGCGAAGGAACTCAGCAATGCGGCGTTTGGCTCCCAAATGGTCTTCACTCATGATTTGCCAAGGGGGAACTTGACCCGTTAGCTTGATGGAACGAAGGGAGTGCATTTGATCAACCACGTCAAGGAGGATATCAGAAAAGTATGTGAACTGTAATTCTTTAAGGCTATCCCATGGGATACCATGACGCCACGATTCATCGGTTTGAACACTGTCGATAGAAAGTCTCCGAAGGGATGAGAGGATTTGTCCTTCTTCAAGTGTGTTGTTCCGCTCAATGTCAGGTACAATATGAAAGCTACATAATTGTTTTGGCATTAGAAAAGGAGTGACAAGAAGATAACACAACGAACCAGAGGTCCGTCAGATATATCATGCGGGGAAGCAGATGCAGGGTCTTTTCTAGAATTCGCCTCTCCACCTCCTCACCGTCCTCATCAATCACGTATGCAGGATCGATGATTACTTTGCGGACGTATGAGAGGAGTGATGGATTGTCTTCTAATCGCTTGAGGAGGTGGAGTTCAAACTCCGGCGCACCCCCTGGGCCCCATTGGGAGCCACCTATTTGAATGACCCGAAACCGGATAACGGTAGTGAACTTATAAAAGGCACGACTGACAAGACTAACAGACAGAAGAGAATTGAATGGCGATGCGGCGAGCTGCTCTATAATATGATAGTAGATGTCACCGTTTAGCGCAACCGCACTGGGGCCATTGAGATTAACCATCGCAGCAGAGGTAGAGATACGCAAGGGAAACTTAGAGATAGCCTTGGTCTTGGGAGGGCTCAAAGTACAACGCTATCGTGCTGATTATCTGCGAAACGGCAGTTCCCGAAGGCTCTGGTACCGTGCCCCCGCTTTTATCACCATCCTCAGGCTCATATGCTTTCCTTGCTCCCTTTTCTATTTTACAGGGCGGTCATGAGTGAACGATTTTTTAAAAAAAAAGGAAACGGTGATAAAGATTGGAGGTCTATGACGGAGTTTGGTGCAGATGGACTGTGTGCGACCAGCGACGGTCCCGACAACCGAAGCCTCTGGATTTGCAAGCGATCCGGGCGAAATATACTGAGGTGGAGACAGGGGATCGTGGCGGCTAAGCGCAAAAAATAGCAACACACAAGGAGGAAGTGATGAAAAGACAGGAAAGAGCCGAAAAACCAAACAGGAGAAAACAACAAACTTTGCTACTTGACGTTATCTCAGACACTGTTCTCACCAGAGTTCCGGCTTTCTTGGTGTTAACCCTTCGATTCCCTTTAAGGGACTCCGTTCACGGCTATAAAGGATTGCTTCGAACCTAGCTTTCAACCTAACCAGGAAGGGTTGGCCTTTTCTGTATTTTCCTCACTCGGTTCCTCCCCATTGCCCATTACTACGAATCAGGCTTGTGCGGCTACTCTTTGCTGGGTTGAAAGCGTTGTTTTCCTGATGGCCCGGGTCTGCGGGTTGATTTTGCTTCACTATTGGTTGCGCCCCGAGGGCCTTGCCTTATGACTACGTTATTTCTCGGTCTAGAAGCATGCTGAGTGAGGGGCTTGCACGCATATCTTATTCGCCGCCTCCCAAGGGCTTCCCTTTATAGGGAGCGCTAGTGATCTCGAATGGAGGGCTCAGTCTTTCCTGTCATATCTTTGCCCGTCTTCAAACTCGCGGCCTCCGTCAAAAATAAACAGCCAGGTGGGTCAAATCTAAGATAAGTCACAGTATATTATTTCAGACGTTTTAGCGCTCCGTGTGCCGGGGTCTTCAGGCTCGTAGCCATTGCAGAAGTCTCGATCTATCTTACTTCACGTGTACCACTCAACAGCACAGGTATCATACGGGCCACGGTGCTTCATTTCACAGAGAATTGTGCTTTCACTGGTCTGAATATGAAACTCTTCATCGACAGCTTCTTGCAGCTCAGAGATTAGGAGGTCTGGTTTCATACCGACCAGACTATCTAGGAACTTCAGCAGTGCATTACTGAGAGAGTGTGGTCGGTCACGCGTCTCTCACGGTGCTGCCTTTGTGGGTTATGGAGAACACTCTGGATGGTGTGTACAGGCACTTGTGTTGCTGTCTAGATATCCTGTGTGCTCATCGAGTTAGACATTGTAACGATAAGGTCCCTGGCCGCAGGTTTGCGGTGTTTGCCCATTGTGATGGGCATGTGGTTAAGGGCCTGATCTCCAATATTTTTGTCGGTGCCACTGGGATACAGTGGGCGCTCAATTTTTACCTAAATCATCAATCGGATCAGTTGTTGCCCGCGCGATATATCCATTCAAACCGGATGCGCTGTTTTTTTTTTTTTTTTTTTTTTTGTTACGGCGGCTGTAAACTGGGGTGATATGAGAGCAAGTATTCATAGCAATGCACGAACACCCATCATTCGATCATGATCTTATGAAGATCCTTTCCATTCAGTGTTGGGCGCTTGTCCGTTGGGAACTCTCCCGTGGACAATACTAGGCTGGTGACGTCACCTGCCTAGGACAATACGTGTAATCACATCAGGGGAAGTCCCAGTCCCCAAGCCACCACAGGGTTGCGATCGTCAGTTGATGGTTACTATTAGAATTATGAACTAGCTAGCGGTGGTGTATAACTAGTGCTCGATTCCAGCGGCTTATACGTGCTAGGAAAGTACATAAAATGTTAAGACTACGTTCCAAGAGATAAAGCGGATCTCACCTCAGTCCCAAGTAATATGTGAACTGAGGAGAGAGGAAAGAAAATTGAAGTAGCTTTTAAGCCATCCTCGACTGCGTCCATCAACATGGACTTCAAAAACGGAAGCATCGGGAAATCCTGTAGGGAAATGTCCGTATAATCCATAGGACTCAATGAGCAATCCACAGCGTACGTACAAATCAAGAGTTACTACAGTTTGAGACGCCAATTTTTGATGCCTCAATGGTAAACTTTCCTTTCAGCGCTTGTAAACTAAAGCATTGTACCAAAATAACTCAGATAGATATGTTGTAATCACGAATCACCGAAGCCGGGCATACATAGCTGCGCTGGTGTTTATGTGGAAGATTTATGTGGAGGGAATCACTGATCGCGTAGTCGCACAGGAGTCACCACACATGGGACCACTCCACAATGCATTTCACTTTGTACATAAATACGCACAGACGGACGCTCACAGGAATCATCAGTTTTTGCCCTAAGCTTACATCTGATCTCGCGGCCTAGAGTGTAGCCACTAAGGTAGCGGATTGGACTTGCACGGAATCCCTACATGATAAGTTCAAAAAAAATGAGGGTGGTATCAAAATCTCATCGTGGATACGTACCAAGACTAAGTAAACAGTTTTGGCGTTTGCTTCGTCGGAATTAATTTGTCAATGCAATTACTTGGCGCACGTGACAGGACCAGCGATACGATCAAAGAGTATCGAGAAACTATCTTTGTACAGTAGAGTTTAATACCTATGTTTTATAATAGGATTTTAACATTTCAGGTCTGGTTGTGTCGGAAGAACGTTGCAAGAAACTTTCATCCCAAACATGTAATCATTCGAACGGGGTTACACATGAACGTGCCCATGTGTATATCTTGTCAGGCTGTGATTTCCTGGTACTTAATCGGGTGGGCAACCATAGGCATCAATCATCCCTCCCCCAGGATGTCAGAGCAGAAATCGAACGCCCTCAAACGCCTCGCAGGCAACAAGCTTCCCGTCAAAGCCGTAATTGCCACAGTCCGAGGAACGGTGGCTACCGTACAACTTCCGATGAATTTCTCCCATTGGGGTGTGTTAAGTCCTGTGCTTCGCCGTCTTTCGCCGCCTGACGATATTTTTTTTGGGTTGGAAAGGGGACAATAATCCCATTGAACCGGTGAACGTTAGAGGGCGGGACATCCTAACGCTTGGTCTTGTCGATGGTATCTCAGATGTGCTCCCAGTCGATGGGGTAATCAATGGGATAATCGGGGGCGTTGCACATGTGGATCCAGATGGCTTTCTGGCAACTCACGGAGCACACATGATTGTGAATATTGGTCTGGGTACACTCGTGGCTCGCGCCAGCGAGGCACATGGAAAAGCCCGTCAGAATGCACCTGTTGAATGGCATGTTGCCAACCCTAGCACCGATGGTTTCCGGGGACTCGAGACGACGGCAGTTCATAAGTTCCAACTCAGCGTGTGTCACAAGTTGTTTGAAGAACATGTGAAGCTGGAGCCTGTTCGTATGCCATCTTTCCGCAAATTGACCCTGGCTAAGGGCATTGTTTCCACGGGCCCGGGTTGGTTTTGCCCTTACGTGTATTCCACTCATCGTCAACCTTTGGTGTCACGAATCAATGAGGTATAATTCATTGCATCTTCTTCGGAGAGAACACATCTCACGTTTCTTCTCCCCAGATTTCCTTCGTTCAACTCCGCGGGCCAATCATTGCTGCTGATCAGATCCTAGCCTTTCAACTGGTCGGCTTTTTCAAATCCATATTCGGACGCCTCATCTCTTTTGGAAATTCGTCGCCCACATTTCAACCTCCCAAGACCCCTTCAACGTCTCGTGCGCTTGCGTGCATCGCCGGAATATCATCTTTCAGAGGCCTTTGGTCCCAAGGTCGAAGGCCCGACCAGTGCAAGATGTGGTTCCACGTCATGAATGGAGTGCCTGGAATAGCAATTCCAGTGGTCGACTCATCTCCACTCTTAGCTTGGCATGGGAAGGACCTTGGCGAACTAGAGATGAAAGACCTTGCTGAAGTCTTGGAGTACGTTTCGACGCTCTTGGACCCAGCATACCAGATCGACCCCTCTACGTTGGGCGCGGCGCTGGAGTGCATGATCGGAAATGCAATTGCGGGGAGGAAAGCAGCAAAGAAACTTAATAGCGATTTTGACCTTGATCGCACTGGAATCCTAGTGATCAAATATGGTACAGCCGCAGTGACTGTTTGATCGATGTTTTAAGCTCATCCTCGTATCACTCGGTTTTCCGGAAATTGTTTCTCTCGTCTTTGTGTCGTGGCGCTCTCTCTCTTTTTGTACATAACAGAACCCTTTTCTGAAGAGTCATCGACGCTCGCCAGCGCCTTGTAACATCTTTACATCCTTCGAGCCTGAGAATAGCATAAAGGCGAGTATTTAGCCACGGGAGACAGCCGCTTTGAGCGTTAGAGGGTTCACTGAGAACATCTAGCGTCGTCCTGAAGTCATAGAAAAGGCAGCAGAGATCCTCGGGGGTGGCCCAGTGAGGACGGTGGACGATGAGCGTGCTGCAGTTTAACCTAAGCAGTGACGGATGAAACGAGAGGATCACGTGTTGCTAACAAGCAACTTGGACTTTGCTTGCCAAATTGAAACCTGACTAGTGCCGCATGGATCGCGACCGCGACGGGCGTGGCGGTGGAAATAGGGTTCGCGACAGTCGTAGCCGCACTTCTATGGGACACGGTGAGCTGCTTGTTTGTTTCTCCATCGCTCGACCTTAGACTCACACTATTCTTTCTCCTGATTATCGGTGGTGATCATCATGCTTAAATTCCTGAACCATCCGAACATCTGCGACAAAAATAAAACCTCTCATTCATGGCAAACACGGCGCGAATGAGTGGATTAGACTATGGTGATGAATATCATCGAAGGCGTGAGCGTCCTCATCATGGTGACACTCACGAACGCGAACGCGGCCGAAGTCCCGAAAGTAAAAGATCGCGTTACCACCATCGCCATCACAGTCCTTCCGCGCGGGACCGCTCACACAGCCGCTCGCGTACTACCACCAAAGAGAACGAACAAGAGAGCAGCTTGAGGTATAAAGACCGAGGCCAATCCCCTTCACGTCGCCACTCTTATCATGAAAGGGAAAGCCGTGGAAAGGCCGCTGATCGTCATCATGCGAGTGCGGCTTATCTTGCTTCACGAACTGCTTCCCTGAAGCTTCTGCAGCGCCGTTCACGCTCCAACCGTCCGCCTTCCCTTTCCGGTTCATCGTCTGAGTCAGAATCAACTGAGTCTTCTGGCCATCGCCATCGCCATCCTGCCTCTAGTAGTCGGGATGATGAACGTTCACGCGCCCGTCGGCATGGTTCTGACCATCGCAAAAGAGGAAGAACTGGCACCAGCAGTCGCAGCAGCAGTCGCAGTCGCAGTCACGAGCGCCATCACCGACACTCAGATGCCAAGAGGAGAAAAAGTGACCATCACAGGGACAGGGAAAAAGACAGGAAGCGTGACAAAGAACGGAGGTCCCCGAAGGCACAGGAAAGGCGGAGTGTTCTGACAGGGAAAAGAGTGCGCCCGTTCATTCACATCATAATAGCTCTCGTTAACCCCGATGTTCATTACCCAGATCAAACTCAGGCCACCTAAAGATAACATGGAGGAAGCGCGCGCGAACCTCCTCCAGTTTCTCAATTCTACAGCGGAAGGCTAAGATCATTTCTATCTTCCAATAGTGAGCTGGGTCCTGCCTAGAGATTAGTGATCGTTTTGAGAACAATGAGGCTCACGATTACAAGAGCGTTAATGATATTGTTTGGACTTCACCCTCAATCACACTAGATGCTTCTGAGCATGCCACTTCCGCCTCCCGGTCACCCCTTGTTGTCGTTTATACCTTGCTAACTCATTGGACCAGTTATTTCTGCTGCCTCCAGCCCTGAATGACAACACAGAGTGCCTCCAGTTATCCGTCTGGCTGCCGTTCCCTGTAGTCGAATCGTTTGGAACACTCTCGGTACTGCTTTGTCTTGTGAAGAATGCTGGCGGCATACTTCCCACTTGTTCTGACACAAGAATCAACAATCCAGGTTCTAGCCTAGCTATGATTACAATATCTCTACTCATCCTTGCAATCCACGTCCGCGTTTTCTGCCTTTCAGCAAATCTACTTAAACTTGCACTGGGACTCGATGATAGTGAGCAACCACTTGGCAGTGTCGATGCAGGTTGTTTAGCGTTTCTTTTTACGTGCTGGTTCACGGACCTAGCCGTTTTGAAATATGCTGTCCAGGTCTGCCCACTGTGGATGGATACCGAGTCCAGGACGTTCTATACGGCTTACCGTGTTCATCATACAGTATTGGTTAGAGTGTTCGAGGTCCGAATCTTGCAAGCTTGGGTGAAGAGAGTTTATCCCAGCACTTATAGCATGAGCGTTACCTGGTGAGCGCGTCCAACACTTCTACCAAGCTAAATAGGAAGCTCTCCAAGCAAGTGCCAATAACGGAAGAGGCTCGTGAACAAGGCTGCAGAATCGTTCGGCGGCCCGAGGGCGTGAGTAACTTGGCAGTGTGCAATCAGTGATTCAGTTTGCCTGTAATGGTGCATAGTTCCCGCGATGTCACGCTCATCCACAACATCAGCCATGGTCCATCACCGCTTTTGCTTCTATACTGATAATTGTCCTGATATACTATCACACCAACGTTGCTGTGGAAAAGTGATGCTAGTCTAATTCTCCTAGGCACCGCAACTAGTGCTTTTTTAGCTCATGGCTTGAGGTTGGTGAAGGGTATCACGCCTACCCAGATCGACAGCTGGGTCACAGCGTCTAATTACGCTATAACTGGTCTATTCCTACCCATCCATGGCGATTTTTGATTCGTGGACTAGGATTGTTGGCGCCACCCTTGGTTCAGCGTTCACAAGTTTGCGGGTCCCTCTATTGGGGTTGGGACCATACTCTTCCCTGGGACCTATGATTCCTCACCCTCGATCGTAAAAGGTGAAGTATCCGTTGCTGAGCCACAGATCGAGATGCAATTTTCACCGGTGTGCGATTGGCCATACTGATGCCTTTGTCCTTGTTGGAAACCATGTTGTGGTTCCGTATTGTGAATACGTATATAGTCATTTTGACTTCTGGTATCGTGGTTAAGAACTCTCCTTTTCTGACATCAAAGATCTCTATGGCTACGCCCACAATCCCGCTATGATTCTGCTGCTTGCCTTAACTTATGGCAATCTTCAAGCATCTTGTGTGTGATCTGCATGACTTTCGTGTGTTGGCACAGGGGGATAATATATTAGCGTCGGTGTCTGCACTTATCATGATCATGATGCTGATCCGTTACGAGCATGAACTATTACAAGGTGTCACTGATAGCAAATGGTGAACCGCTTGAACCGATCAAGGCACTACAGGGCAGGGAGGGCAAGAGAGAAGCCAACACCCTCGTGATACTCTGATCATGCTTCGTGTTGGCATCACTAGAGTTTGCTTCCTTCTGGGGAGCCTCTTCTGCCTAGTTTCATGCTAACACTGTCTGGTGCGTGTGACCTGGGTGTTGCTATGCTTGAATGATGCCATCAGCTCCCTCGTATTCCGTCCTTCGATTTGAGGTAACAGGTAACAACCCTCGACGGCAGCAGCTGCATTGAAGCAAGTCATTACGGGATGTGCGAGCGACTGGTTCAAGATCCTTCCGAAAAGGGTGTGGGGAAATGAAGCGGGTGCATCCAGGTATAAGCTCAGCTGTGACAGTAGGAAGCAACCAGAGAGATACGAGCATACGATAATTGGTCTCTAGACGAATTGATTTTTAGCGAGTGCCCGAATTCTCGGTCGATAATCAGTGCAAAACAGCTGCATCCCATATTTCATTCTCTCAACATTCCTGGTCGAGCTCAAAAGGTTGATAATTTGGCTGCATATACAGATGATAGGCAAAAATCTTCCCAGGGCTGCCTGTGTCAATCACAAATATTCGGGCAAAGTTGGGCCAGCTGTTTCGTATCAGGTATCCTTCAAAGAATCGAGCCTTCTGATTCCGGCTGCCCGAATCCAGGGCGCGAGGTTGGGGTCTCGGGTGCGGCACCAGTTTATCTGTAGTCGACTTCGTTCAATGGGCCACGACACAAGCTCCGGTTTCATAGCAACTGGCAACGTTTGTGCAGCGGATTTTGTTCATGGGGATGGAGGGGCTGCAAGATCATGTGATGGAGTGCAGACAGCGCACTCCAGTGGCCATAAACATCTTCTAACGTGCGGAGGAGGTAGAAGCCCTTGCCTGGCCGTGTTGTTCAAGCCGTCCGGGTCCCTCCACGACTTGTTGGTCTTATCCTGCCACCGTGGGGTAGACTTGCAACACGGGAGAGGCTCCTGTCCGTCTCGCGCGCTTCCTCCTGGAGGTCTCTGTTGATCGGATTACGATGTGTGGGGGATTTATTTCCTGCCAATTCCCAAATGGCTTCCCAGATTTGTGCACCATCCAGTATTGGAACGGGCAAGAGGTTGAGAACGAAGAGCGAAAGTGATATCGCGAATGCATACCTACGGAAGAAAGCATAATCTGGTGAGCAAGGTAGTTGCGAGTGATGCATAGTAGGGCAGTTTTTAACAAAATGGTAACATCATCTTCGTGGACAAATGGAGAAGGCTCCATTCCATAAGGCATTGAATGGAGACAACTCACGCTTGGAAGAGGCCTACAATTAACGGAATACTTGGTGGGACAATCCAGTGCCGCGGTTGAAATTTACCAATCACTACTAGAGACCGATGCAATCAGTTGAAATCTCTGAATACTGCTTCTGAAACAAAGCGTTGAACGGTTCCCATACCCGATAGAAAGGAAAAATAGGGATAATGGTAGGTCATGGGGTTATGATAAATCGCTTACTTTGATCAAGCACTTCCTCTTTGGGCCCCCTCCACACGATCGTGAAGGTCTGAGGGTCGATCCACGACGGGGGCCTCACAGATATCCTCACGAGTTGTTCTTTCGGACTAGGGCGAACACAAGACCATCCTTCCTCACATGAGTCAGCACGTTGTGGGTTGCATCGCTCCAGAGTTCGATGCAGTGGAGGTGGGGTTGCTGGATCGAGAATAAGCAGTGGGTCAAGGCAGACTCCTGGAATACCGGGGATATCCGGTCCCTGGAAGAAGCAGGCAAATTGCGGGCGCTTTTTGTTGGAAGGTATATCGATAGACGAATATAATTTCGAATTGAAGTCTGGATCCCAGCAGCAAGAGGAAGCGTGAGCTGTGTCAGGAATAGTGAGTTGGTGCGGGGATTCAAAGTTGGTTGCGGGAGCGAACTGACCGTTTGACCACTGGTCCATCACACACCAGCCACTGTCATTTCTCGCGCTTCCAGCCTTATCAGAAAAGAAGCTTCGCCAAGATTCTGGGGAAAATATTGAGGTATCGTCGAGGGCTACAATCGACGAACTAATGGGCAAATGTTGTACAAGAGACGAATCCTGATTTGAATCCAGTACGCTGTTCAATAACTGTCGCATTCCACTTCCAGAGCTTTGCACCAAACGCTTACCGAATCAATTCCCGCCACAATTGCAGCCGAGTCGCCAGTGTACTCCCATAATGGCCACCCTATGACTTTCCCCAACGCTTCACTGATTCCGCTCCAGGCCCGAGCCACAGTAGCAATAATGCAACTAAATTATGCCAGCTCCCCGAAGTAGCTATCCGTAGACGCGCTCGCGGAGGCAAGGCAGAGACGGATGACGGGGGCAAGGAGACGTAAGCCCACGGAACGGCAACTACGATTCCGATTCCGGTTGAGATTATTTGGATGGAATCAAGCGACGCGGCTATCACATGTCCGGCTTCGTGGGTTAGGAGACAAGAGATGCCAGCAGATATTAGAACTGGAAAATGGTATAGGGGAACAGTTAATCCTGGTATCTACAAGCAGAATCGATGTGAGTGGAGGGACATCCGGAAATATGTCCCAGATCTTACGACAAGCCTCAAGTAGCTGAAGGGACCATCGAGATCAATACACAGCGAATCGGGAAGCCCACCCATTGGTGGTATAATATTGGGAACTTCTGCTCCGCGAACAAGACTGCATATTGTACCAAAAGCGCACCACGATAGCCACACCAAGCATAAGAACGACGCAGTGGTGCAAAGTAAGGAACCGGCGTCATAAAATGCACGAACAGTTGGGCTATTGGATAGCTTTTCAGAAAGTGATAGGGATAAAGAGTTCAGGGAAGTCGTGTGTATAGTTATCCTCAGGTCATGCACGATAGCTGTCGTGCGAGAAGGGTGAAAAGCCCAAGCGAGAATAGATTTGTGCCCAGAAAACGAGGGAGAAACGAAATGGAGACGGGCCGATGTCCTGTCACGAGAAGTGAGAGGAAGCACATTGTAATATGCATTCGATCGTTTTGAGATGACAAGGCGGTTGAGAAGGTGCGTTACCCCCCAAAAGAGCGCCAGCGACCATAGCAGGTCATTCGTTCCTCCCATAGACTTGGATGTTTCCACCCAGGCGCTAGTTTAGCAAGTTTGCATCCGAGATTGTATTCTATCCCAATTGTGGTTGCGTGTCTGCTCTGACAGTTGCACATAGTTGCACTCACGCACCGTTAAAAGAGACTGCTGCAGTTTCCTCTGGCTTACAACCATGTGCGCCCACCATCTCTTTGTCGCATTTTTCATTAAACTCAATGCCTGCTCCGTAGGGTGGCGATACACGTCTCCTCGCAAGACATCGAGCGAGCCTCGCTTCACACTTCCCGGCCACTGTGGGCGCATGCTTACGCCGTTCCTTTCCTTTTACTATATCCAATTTGGGCATATGCGTATTACTTTAAATATGATGACTGGGTGAAGAGCGAGGAATGGACGTTCCTCGGATGCGTGGCCCTCGGTGCCGGTCATGCGCTCAGTTTCCTGGCGACTAGATGGAGTGCTGGTGCGAAGGCACTTATAACCTCAGGCAGTGTATGGACAATATTTCTTTTAACGGCAACTTCTCGCTGACATTGACATGCACTGCAGGCACAGAACGTTGAAGAAGCGGATCTCATCCGTCTGGTACCTTTCAAACACAGAGGTAAAGGAGAGATTGTACACATAACGAAGAAGCGGGTGAGGGTGTTAAGCTAGGCCTTTTATATGGCATACTCATGCTCCTTTATGCCCAGTCTTCAGGTTCGCTCATACCGGCTTACTCGTTCAACTATCAAAGAGACACGTATGTGTACAACCCAACCACAAATTCTTTCGAAGCACGCCCCTATCCATCCGACTCTCGGCCTCCTCTTTCATCTTTCGCTTCACCTTCTGGTGTGGCGGGCACAAGCGTAGACTCGTTGAGGGAACTTTATGGGATGAATGAATTCGATATCCCTATTCCTTCCTTCACGGAGTTATTCGGTGAACATGCCACCGCCCCTTTTTTCGTCTTCCAGCTATTCTGTGTTGCACTTTGGTGTTTGGATGAGTACTGGTACTACAGTCTCTTCACTGCCTTCATGCTCGTCGTGTTTGAATGCACCGTTGTTTGGCAAGTGCGTGTTTCTTCGTGTTCCTGCTATAAGGGAACTGCTCAATCAAATTCTATAGCGAGTAAGAACATTAACTGAATTCCGTACAATGTCCATCACGCCATTCTCTATTCAAGTTCTGCGGGATGACAAATGGGAACAGATCCAAACAGACAAGCTTGTTCCAGGTGATCTCGTTTCTATTGGTGCGTCCTCACTTGTCAAAAGGCGTTATTTAATTTGTTTATGTGACCTAACTTAGTCCGAGGGGTGAAGGAAGAGACCACAGTCCCAGCCGATCTACTTCTCATCCAAGGCACAGTGATTGTAAACGAAGCAATGCTTTCCGGAGAATCCACTCCTCTGCTCAAGAGTCCGTTGAGCTCCTAGAAGGAGATGAAAGGCTCGATGTTGATTCTCAGCACAAGGGCAATATTCTTTTCTCTGGAACTAAAATTCTTCAAGCTAGTGGTGGCACGAGTCTTGGAGATCGGAAGATCACGACACCAGACGGAGGCTGTTTTGCTGTTGTGTTAAGACTGGCTTTGGGACGTCACAAGGACAACTCGTTCGAACGATGATCTTTTCCACAGAGAGAGTGTCGGCAAATAATTTAGAGTCTTTCTTATTCATTGGCTTCTTGCTCATCTTCGCTATTGCTGCAAGCTGGTATGTCTGGGTCCGAGGTCAGTTACTGATCATTGCCACTGTCTCTGTCTCCGCGCATAAGAGTTCTGATTCTGGGCTTGGCTCAGGAATTGAACGAGGCTTGAAGAAGTCAAAGTTGCTCCTTGATTGCATTCTCATTGTCACCAGTGTTGTCCCTCCTGAGCTACCTATGGAGCTCTCACTTGCTGTCAATGCGTCTCTAGTGGCATTGTCTAAGTTTGGTAAGTTGAACTCACTTTATCTGGGACTGTTTTTTACTGTCCCATCTCCACAGCCATCTTTTGTACCGAGCCGTTCCGTATTCCATTCGCAGGCAGAGTGGATGTCTGTTGTTTTGACAAAACTGGTACGATAACTGCGGAAAATCTCGTGTTAGAAGGAGTGGCAGGGGTCGAGTAAGTTGCATCTGCCTCACCTTGATGTGCAATGACTAACTGCGCCATGTAGCCCATCTAATCCCAGGAAGCTGGTTAATGTGAAAGAGGCAAGCCGTGACACAACACTATGTTTAGCCGCTGCCCACGCCCTTGTGCAATTGGATGATGGAACCATCGTTGGAGACCCTATGGAGAAGACGACCTTAGAGTCACTCGACTGGGCCGTGTCTAGGGTATGCATTTGGGTTTCTTCTCTACATTAACTGAATATGCGTTGCGTTTAGACGTGGTAACTGCCAGGGAGAAGACAGCGCCACACCGGACGTCTATTTCAATCCGTCGACGCTTCCAATTTTCCTCTGCTTTGAAGCGCATGTCCACTGTTTCGCATTTGCCCACCGGCGCAGTCCTCGTTGCTGTAAAAGGTGCCCCCGAGACAATAAAGAGTATGCTTTCCAGCATTCCCAAGGATTACGACGAGACCTTCAAGTGGTACACTCGTAGAGGGAGTCGCGTGCTCGCTCTCGGAACGAAGGAACTACCAAATATGGGAGCTGATAAAGTGATTTGCGCCACTTCGTCTAGCTGGTCTTTCCTGATGATCTCTGCTTAGATCCACCGACTTCAGAGGGAGCGAGTTGAATCCCAGCTCAGGTTCGCGGGATTTTTTGGTCTTCCACTGCCCGCTCAAGGAGGATGCCGTAGTGTCTCTGAAAATGCTGGCGGATTCGTCTCATAGGGTATGCCGGGATTTATTCTATACTTTAGGCCTGGGTCTAACATACTTTAATAATAGTGTATCATGATTACAGGTGATAACCCTCTCACCGCCGTGCACGTTGGCCAAAGAAGTCGAGATCGTCGATCGGGATGCTTTGATACTCGATGTTCGGGGAGGGTGCAACTGTCCACAGGTTAGTGACTTGTAGACTGAAGTTGGTATGCCATACAGCTAGTTCTTATAGACTTGCAATGGCGGACTGTTGATGGAGGCAAGATCATTTCTGTGGACCCATCGGAACCAATAGACGTGTCGTTGTTCAACGAATACGACATCTGTGTCACTGGTGCAGCTCTCAGGCAGTATGAAGGGAGGGCGGGAATTAACGATCTCGTCAACAATACCTGGGTCTACGCGCGCGTTTCGCCTACTCAGAAAGAGTATATCCTTACCACGCTGAAGAATCTTGGTTACACTACACTCATGGCGGGAGACGGAACGAATGACGTTGGTGCCCTCAAACAGGCCGATGTTGGTGTAGCACTGCTTGATGGCACTCCAGCAGACTTGCAAAAGATTGCTGAGCACCAGAGAAATGAGCGCGTCAAGTCCGTTTACGAGAGTCAACTCAAGATCTCACAACGATTCAACCAGCCACCTCCCCCTGTTCCACCAGCCATCGCTTCGCTCTATCCCGAGCTTGTTGCGGCACAGCAAAAAGCAAAGGAGGCCCAAGCTGACGCAAGGAAGAAGAATCCAATGGAGAAAGTAAGTTTTCATTAGCATTTTCAAGGCTGTATGCTCAACTCGTGCTGCAAGTTCGATTTGGCTTCCATTACAAACACAATGGCTGATTTAGATGACGATAACGAGCCTCCCAAAATTAAACTGGGGGATGCTTCTTGCGCTGCTCCATTCACTTCCAAATTGTCCAATGTTTCGGCTAGTGAGTATGGATCGTCCATCGCTCGACCCAACATTGCTCATCACTGGATCAGTTACAAATATAATTCGCCAAGGCCGCTGCACATTAGTTGCTACTATCCAGATGTATAAGATCTTGGCTTTGAACTGTCTCATCACCGCGTATAGCTTGAGCGTTCAGTACCTAGATGGAATCAAGTTCGGTGATTATCAAGTGACGATAACGGGGATTTTGATGTCTGTGTGTTTCCTTTGCATATCGCGAGCCAAGGTCTGTTGGTATTTCCCTGGTGCCGGAACGGAAATTTACGTCTCATTTTCAGCCTGTGGAGCAGCTTTCCCGCGAGCGCCCTCTCGGAAACATTTTCAACTTCTATGTTCTCCTCTCCGTTCTCATTCAATTTGCGATCCATATTGCATCGTTGGTTTATATCACCAATCTGTCCAATTTATTCGAAGTGTAAGCGAACAGGCATCTCCTAAAACATGGTCTCTCTGATTCTTGATAAAGTCGAGGACCCATCGATCTTGATGCCAAGTTTGAGCCTAACCTCCTGAACACTGCCATATACCTCCTCAGCCTCTCGCAACAAGTTTCAACGTTTGCCATTAATTTCCAGGTAAGCGCTGGCATAGCGTTGTCGCCGAACCTCTTAACTGTTGATGTTTGGTGCTATAGGGTCGTCCTTTCCGTGAAGGCATCAGGGAGAACAGTGCCCTGTGGTGGGGCCTTGTCGGTGCCTCAGCCGTCGCTTTCTCAGGTGCGACAGATTTCATTCCTGAGCTGAATAGATGGCTGCAGATCGTGGAAATGCAAAACTCCGTGAGCCCGTCCTTTTGATTGACGATGAGTGAGACTAATGCTTATGTGGTATAGTTCAAGTTCAGCCTCACCACCGCGATGATCCTTGATTTTGCAGGATGTTGGGTGGTCGAAGTTGCTTGTAAAGCCTTCTTTGCTGATCTCGCACCGAAACCAATCGTTCTGAAGGGTTGGAAGCGGCGAGAAAAAAGGCGGACGGAACAGCTGCGACTGGAGCAATTAGAGAAGGCCAAAGCAGAACTCGCGGAGCAAAAAGAAGATTAGAAATAATACACCTGAGTCCACCCTCATTGTAATCGAAATCGGACTCTGTCGGTAGCACATTACGGCTCGGTAGTATTTAGGATACATAGATTTGCATGGTAATTGTCAGGAACATGATATATACGCCCATTTCTTAGCTGTGCACAGACTTAGCATGGCAC